TTCATCGCCTGCGGGCGCACACTGCGGGGGCCACCCTGGTCCCGGGGTCGGAGAGAGTCGGGGCGGCGGACGGAGGCAGAGTCTTTGAGGAAGTCGGCTCCGCAGCTTGCGCGCCTTGCGCGTCGGCTCCAGGAGCTGGTCGATGTGAGTGGACGTGTCCCGGCGCTCCTACGACCCAAACGAGCAAAAACACACACACACACACACACACACACACATACACACATACACACACACAAAGAAAACAAGAACAATGAAACATAATGAAAGAAAACCGGGCCAACCTCTCATGGCAGCCATCATCAGTTGGGACATTTTGGGATAACAACTCCACAGGGACAAAGTGGAGTAACATGATATATAACTGGTAACTACAACCGCTGCATCGTGTCAATGCTCGACTCGATGCTCAAACAGCATTCCGTGCTGCTGCAGAGATGAGTCTCCTCGATCTTGTGGTCCGGCTGACAAATGAAGCCCACGATTGGGATGCTCAGGGCCTCGCCGACCAGCATAGCCTCAACAATAAGAACAGGAACCAGCACTTCCAGGCGATGCAGGAAGGATGGCATAAACCCCGAGCAGTTTCAGACCCTGGCCCCGAAGCACTTCGAGTCGCTAGCACGATTTGGACCGTTGAGGCGAGAGTACCCAGGTGGCACAGTGAATGACGCGAGAAGCTTTTGATCTGCGATGAAACTGGCTGGCCCTGGGCGAGAGCAGGGTCGTCGACGCATTGCGACTTTTCTAACATCCTTTTGGATCCAAGGAGCCAGGTGGCACACTGTGAAGCCGAAGATGATGAAGTCAGGCCTGGAATGTGTAAGCATCTGTAAGCCGTGAGCATATCTGTAAGCATATCTGCAAGCATATCTGTAAGCATATCTGACACTGTGGTGAGTGATGATGGCAGTGTGGGCCTCTCTTCGGCTGCCCAGAAGTAGAAGCATCCTTCGGAAGGGAAGAAGTTCCGCTCCTCTCGTGGGATTCGCGTGCAAGGTGCTGCAGCGCTCTCTATAATCCAGTCATCCAGTCATCCCATGTCATATTCTCTCTTCCCTCGAGAGTTACCCTCTTCGTTCTTCTCGTAGACTTCATGTTTCTCACCCTCATCCTTACGTCTGGCCCTCCCGCAGTTTCTTCGTATGCAAGTGCGCAGCTCTCCTGAGCAGAGAAGATCAGCGACTGTAGAAAATCCTCAGGCGCAAGGGCCAGTGACCAGTGGCCCTGACATCAGATGCTAACTCACTGAGCGCCAGGCATAGTGCTGGCCTTCCCAAGTGATCAGCTTGCTGATGGCAGTCCGCGTCTGTGCCATGGTGTCGCCACCCGATGGCCGGAATAACAACGTGCCCTGCAAGTGCGATGTGAATGCATGTGCACCTGCATTCTGACCGCGTGCTAGGGGAACTTGCCTGTTTGAGCTTCGGCTCGGGACGTTCTAGGGTGCAGATCGGCATGCTCCGATTAAAGAGGTGTTCGTCTGCCATGTTCGCAACGCATCAGGTGCCTGAGGCAATCCGTCTCTGAACTCCTTGATGAAGCTCTTCCACGTGAGCCTCAAACTCAACAGGCGCAGAGTGATGGGCCAGTGGTGGGCGGCTCACTTTTGCCTTCGAGCGCTTCGAGACTTAGGCTTACTTGCAGCTTTGGGAGCTCGGTGCAGATGGTCACCTCGCAGTGGTGGTACCTTGGCCAAGCTCTCTGGGTTCTTGGTACTTTCTGCTCATTTATGCGACTTCTGCCGCCAAATGGTGGGCAAACTGCTGCCAAGATTCAGAATCAGCCCGCGTGCCAGGGCCACAAAAGGTTGGACATCACCACGGGTGCCCCTGAAATCCGGCATGTCTTTTTAGCACTGTAGCTGTAGCTGTAGCTCTGATCAGGCCTTTAAATTACACCTTCAAATGTTTTCTCTTCAGTTTGTCTCAAACCATGTCAAACCACAGGCTGAGGAATAAGTATCAAAAAACGGCTGACGCATCTTTGTCCCGGGGGCCTCGTCATTACCATGACGCGAGTCCGGTCATCAAGCCTCCTGGCAGAAGAACAGAAAGCTTGTCTCTATGCCCGCTATTGCCTGCTGTGTCTACTTCCGTTTCGCTTCTTCTCAAGTCCCCAAGTTGCCCAGCCTGGGCCTGACCATGCCCGCCGCTGGACGGGTGCGCTGCCACGATGACGAGCGCCGGTGCTGGACGTCCTGTGTTAACACAGTGTCAACCTCGGGCGGAACCTTTGATGCTTTGAGGCTCGACATTCCTCACACCACACCTTTTCGAGTTCAGTCGGAGCATGCGTTTTCCCGTTCCGTCTCTGCTCTGTCTTTCTTTTGCGGGGCCTACGGGGTATCACCTGGGCGCAATGCGCGCCCTAGTCAGACCATGGATAGAAATATGCACCGACCCCCCAAAAAGGAACTTTGCTCTCAACCCCTCCACATACTCTGCGTGATACCCCCCCTTTGTCGGGTCCCCCCCCCCCCCGGGTGGCGATTTGAAACGTCACCACGAGGACCACCAAAATTGCCCGCCTACTTCTTCTGCTGGGCTTAGGAGCCCGAGGGCCCCCGCGCGCAAGCGCGCCCGAACTCCAGTCCTCTGCGAAACCTCCCTTACCCACTTTTCTTTCTCTCTCTCTCTCTCTCTCTCTCTCTCTCTCTCTATCTGCCTTTCCTTCTTTCTTTCTTTCTTGGGGCATAGGGGTCTCCCCCTGCGCACTCAGCGTGCCCAGCGACTATGGCGCTCAGCGTCCCTTCAGCCCGAATCCCACCCCTTTTAAGTAAAGTAAACACCCCATGATGTTGTTTTTCCTCTCTCTGTGTCTGTCTCTCTCTTCTTCCTCTTCTTCTTCTTCTTCTTCTTCTTCTTCTTCTTCTTCTTCTTCTTCTTCTTCTTGTTCTTCGGGGCTTGAGGGGAACGAACCCCCCCCGCGCGCTAGGCGCGCCCAGGTTGCAGCGTGTCCCTGTGAGACTACAAGCGAGGATATGTGATGAATGCGTCCTGGATAGTTCAGTGCTCCCCCCCGTAATCCCCCACATCCAGGTCGCCTCATCGAGTGCGTGTGACTCTCTCTCTCTCTCTCTCTCTGTCTGCGAGCGTAGACCCCGAAAGGGCCACACACCTTTTCTGCTAGCTGCCTTCCACCTCCACCATGTCTCTCGTAACGATTGAGTTCTAGTTACAACACAAACAATTGCCATGCACAAAGGCCCAAACATCACCACAAACAGATTGTGAGCAGGAACACACTTTGCCGTCAACCAGTGCATCCCATCAATCTCCGATTTGGTACCGTAAAAGATTGACGCCATACCCTTCTGAAATCTGCTAAAACGCTTGGAGACAGAGGTTAGTTACACTCACACACACAAACACAAACACAAACACAAACACAAACACAAACACAAACACAAACACAAACACAAACACAAACACAAAAACAAACACAAACACAAACACAAACACAAACACAAACACAAACACGAACACAAACACAAACACAAACACACACACACACACACACACACACACACACACACACACACACACACACACACACACACACACACACACACACACACACACACACACACACACACACACACACACACACACACACACACACACACACACACACACACACACACACACACACACACACACACACACACACACACACACACACACACACACACACACACACCACACACACACACACCACACACACACACACAACACACACACACCACACACACACACACACACACACACACCACACCCACACACACACACACACACACACACACACACACACACACACACACACACACACACACACACACACACACACACACACACACACACACACACACAGCACCGGTCATGGCCGGTTGCCGGTATTGAAGTACGCCGTAAATAGAAAGAATCTGTTCAGTATGCTATTACCAATGCGTCAGGGCTTCTAGACGCAGTGCAACCGAGGACAATGTGCAGGGAGCCTAAACATCACATAAACGGCTGAACGGAGGCCCTCTCTTCGAGTGTGCTTTTCCGGCGTTTATGTAGGGCTGGCGCTACAAGTAATTTGCAAGAGTCAGGACGAATCAGACTGCACAAGGAACCAGGCAAAACACTTAGACTCAATCTGCAATCTTACTGCGCATTGTATTTGAAGAACTGAAAACCAAACCTCATAAAAGTCTCAGGGCAGGGTCGGGAAAGGGAGCCCTCGCAAGACGAGAAGGCAAACGGAACAGAGGTACAAGCGGCGAAAATCGGCTCATCTGCACCCCACACCGTTTTCTATCTCTCTCGTTCTCGCTTTCTTCCTCTTCTACTGCTGGGCTTGAAGAGGGCGAAGTTTTCTCGTGTTCTCCCTTTCTCTCTTTCTTCTGTCTTTCTTCTCTTTTTCTCCTGTCTTTTTTCGATCTTTCTCCTCTCTTTATTCTCTCTTTCTTATCTCTTTCTCCTCTCTTTCTCCTCTCTTTCACCACTCTTTCAGGGCCGGCTACGCAAACTCCGTCCCCCAGTCCGCTTTCCCCCTGCGGTAGCAGTAGGTTCCGGCGCGTGGGGTCGGGAGCGCGCCCGTGCGCGACACTGCTCAAACGCAAGGTCAAGGCTAATTAGGGGGGCTCGCGCCCCACGACGGCTTCCCGCAGCAAAATTGCAGCACTCAATTCCTCCAGACGCAGTTTCCCCCCTCTCAGCGTTTTTGAAATGCTTCATGTTGAAACGAAAGTGCTCAGCGAAGCGGCACGCATTTGAAGTAGAAGTTCCCTCCCATCTGTGTATCAGCACGGTCCCGGGGATTATTCTTTGTAGCCCTGTGTCGCGATGACAGCCCTCCACTGCCCACATGGCACCCTAAACGAGTGGAGGGGCGGGACTCACCTTGTCTGGCAATGGCATCGGCACGTGACTCAAGCCCCGCGGGGCCCAGGGGGGGACCGGTTCCCCCAGTTCCCGAGACTTGAGCCAAAAACTCTTCTTCTTCCTCTTCGGGGCTTGGGGGGTGCAGGCACGCACCCCTCGCGCACAAAGGCGCGCCCAATCCATAGTCCTGTCCTGTGTGATACGTATATTCCCCCCGGAGGAGGGTCCACTTTTTCGCAGGTTGCCCAGCTTCCCCCTTTTTAGGAGTCTGCAGATGCCCCGCTTTGTGTTTCAAGACAAACCAGCTTAAGCACTACTCACTATGATTGCGCTGTCAACAGAGGCCTGGCTTCCCCGCACGGACATCACACTTCCAACCACGGTACACTAGCGTGGCCCAGTTCATGCGAAAGGACTCAGTAGTCGCTTGTTATGGGGCAGTCACCTATCACGACAAGAAAACAAAACTTGCCTGCAAGGAGGCATGCAAGGTACACGGATTGGTTCTGGAGTATATACCCCACCCGCGAATTAAGCCCTCCTTGACCGGCTCCCGATGACCTCGGGCTGAAGACAACACCCCGAAAGACGGCAAACGATTAAACCCCCCCAACAACATCAAGATCATGGCTTCCTATATGCGCGGTACACGGATTTGTACTCATCCGGGTTGCCCGGTGGTTTGGCCATTTAAAAATGGGAAATCAGTGGTACTCAGTGTTGTAACGACACGCAGCTCCAGCCGCGCATAACCCTGAACTCCTCCCAATCCCCCCAAACCTCACACAGAACCTTCCGAAGCCTGCCAGCAAATCCCCCGGCATCATCCCTAAAACCATGGGCTAGTGGAAGGGGCGTTCACTGCAAAAACTCTCTTTCTCTCTCTCTCGCTCTCTCTTCTTCTTCTTCTTCTTCTTCTTCTTCTTCTTCTTCTTCTTCTTCTTCTTCTTCTTCTTCTTCTTCTTCTTCTTCTTCTTCTTCTTCTTCTTCTTCTTCTTCTTCTTCTCAGCGAAGAGGCCCCTAACAGGGCTCTCTCTCTCTCTCTCGGCTTCGTCCTCCTCCTGCACACCACCGAGAATTTCGACCGCAAGCAGCAATAACGTCGGTCGGCGCACGGTCTGCGCAGCGCACATTTTGCATGAGAGAAGAACGAGCCAAACCATGGTACAGCGGCCACGGGCTTCACTAGTGGTCATCGACCTGATCATTCCGTCATGCCTCGCCGCGGCGTGTTAACTTCCGGTACTGGTGGCTGCTCGTGATGTCCGAAGTCTTAGCCGCCGCGTAGCAATCGCAACACTTTCTAGCTCAAGCTGGCAAACTTCCAATAACTTCGACAAGCTTCTCACACAAGTGTCCCAGACGTTTAGCTCAAAAGCCCGTGGTTTCGAATCAATTGGGAGCTTAGTGCGGACGTTAAACCCCTGAAGCCAACTGTAACACTTTTGGGCTGAACACACTACCCCAAGCCAATTCTATGTACAGACACGCAGGTCATGCTGCTGGGCTCGGAACATATAAGGGGTTGAATGCGCTTGGATCCTGCAAAAGCAGCCGCCACGCATTCCTTCCTGGGCAAGAGGGCAATGCCAGTGCTGAGCATGGTTTCTTCTTAGTTGGGCTCTGTCACTTTCAGACACAGCACAGTGGAGTAGCTCGAGCATGAAGCATAAGATGCATCTGGGCTGCTTGCAAGATCGCCAACCCCGATTTTTGCACAGCCAATGACATTGCCGTGCCCGTCGCAAACATTGAAGTCCAAATTCCAGGCACTGTCAGGGGATCGCGGGAAGACATGCGCGAATGCACCGATACAGATCATGACACAGGCGCGGTCACGTGAATGGGATAGCACTGTGGCCCACAGACCTGTGCGACTCCAAGTCTGTCTGAAAGAAGCGAGGAGGGTCAAAGGACACCTGGTCGTCTTCCTGCATCCGCGATGTTTTCCGCGCTGCTCCACGCTGGCTTCTTACTAGCTTGCTCTGCAACAAGGAGATCGGCATTCTGCTCCTCGACAAGCTCTTACCCTTCCTCCTACCATTCTTACCATTCCTCTGACCATCATCCCTTTTATGACACCGCTGATGTCAACTTGACGACACTTGCCGCTCGACATCCCATGAGTCCGACAGCTCGCCATTCCGGAATTCGAAGATGGCGGGAATCGGCAGCTCCGGATCCGACACCGAGTCGGGCGGCAGCTCCGCAACCTGCAGTGTCCACTCTGCGTCCACTCTTTTCAACTTCATCTCTGCCGCAATCGGAGCAAAGCTCTCACAGGGCCGTGGTGGCCTTTGGGGGCCAAACTGCCGGGCCTTGAAACTGTTGCAACTTTTGGATGCGCTTTGCAACAACCCTTCACGCAGCTGCCTTGACTGAGAGGTTCTTCCTGGCTGACTTCTTCAATGAGCGCGTGGGGAAGTTGATGCATGCCTGCAACGCATGCCAGCTACATCATGATGAGCCGTGAGCCGCGAGCCTCATGAGCTTGCTTTCAACACCGTGCTTGGCCCACCCTGCCTGCACTGAGATGCGAATCAACGTGTAGCCTCTTCTTGGAGGCCCCAGCATGATGCTTCCATCTCGGGAGGCACAAGCCGCGCTGAAACCCAGAGCTTGAGGCCTCCTCGACCCCACCGGCCACAAAAGCCAACTACGCCCATTTACACATGCCCTACACATGCCCTATCCCGTCCTAGCGCTTGAGGTGCAACGTGCTTTAAGAGAAGTGCATCAGCGTCAACATGTCGAATGATGCTCTAGGCTTGCTGATTGCATCTTGTCGTGGTTCAAGGTCGTAGTCTCAGACAGCCGCGACTCTACCGCACGCTAGACAAAAGAGTCTCACAACATGGAGTGGGTGCTGAACTCTGAGCTGCTAAACTCGATTCTTTACATTGGCCGAGCTGATTTGGAGATGTTTGGAGACAGCTCAAGGGAACACAGCTGCTTCGAGCCACGTGCAATCATGTAGCCAGTCTGCACACACAACATGCTAGGTGACTTCGATTTAACTTTCCACAGCCAGCACCTACTCTGGCACTACACCATTTGCTCCCCCCTGTTTGCAAGGTCCGCGCGCAATGTCCATGGGGCTCGTTTTGAAGGCCTGCAAACGTCACCCGCGTCAACGCTGGATGCACGGACAACAAGAGACAACAACGACGACACCCACGGCCAGCAGTTGGCTGCAATTTAAACGCCAGCTGGGAAGGAAGCACTCAACACCAACCAAGGACACGCAACCGAAGGCTACATGGTACTCTATCCTTGGCTCGTCCACGTTGCACGCGAGATGCCGTTCATGATGAACAAGAATACAGCCACAGCCACAACGTAAGGACACATGCATGCTTGAATGAACAGGTTAGTAGTAGCACCACACCAACCTCAATTGCATTGTACTATGCGGTACTTCTTCTGTACGTGCAAGGTCCTGGAGGCACAGATGATGCATCCACAGCGTTTGCATGCAACTACGTTGAAGTTTGCTCGTGTCATCCAGCACTGTCTTTCATGCAGAGTCCGATGTTCGGTGCAGCGTTGTTCGTTTCAACTTTTCAGTTGGCCAAGGGATGCCAAGGCCTGCTAGGTGCTGCAGTTGGCTTCAATTGACATCCAGCGAGGCCAGCAGATGTCTCTTGCGGCTGGCGATGCTCGGTGTCCTTTTTTGCTGGAACTTTTATCGTTTGCTACTGGCTGACTTGAGGGCTTTGATGCGGAGAGCAATTCACCACCCATACTCAGGTGGGCCTGTACGAACATCTACCACACAGGAACCTGACCTCAGCAGCTTACAGCCGGACCAAAGTTCGGACATTGACCAAGCTAAGTCCAACGCTGCAATCAGGCCTTTGGGTACTGCACGACTTGCCGACTCGAACGATTGTGACCGGGGGCTCACTCGGACAGAGAGAGAGGGAGAGGGAGAGAGGGACAGAGAGAGAGAGAGAGCACCTCGGGTCGGTGTCAGATAGCGTCTCTTGACTGAGGCCTCGCCATCCTTCTTCGTGCCATCCGGAAGCTCGATCTGCAGCTGGGGTGGAGACGGTGAGAGTCAAGGGCTACGTGCGGCTACTCAAAGTCTATCATAATCTCGTAGACTCACATGTCTGCAGAAACCGAGATGGATGTGAGATGAGAAGATCCGCAGCAATCTAATGTTCACGGGAGTCGCAGCCGACGATTCTTTGACGAGTAGCGCCTGAACATCGTGCTGGCTGCATCGCCTTGTGCTTTGCTGGTGCTGGCAGTTCTTCGTGTTTCGATCTGTCGACGGTTGGACGCAATGGTTCCGCTGAATGAGGACGAAGTGCGGCCGAGCACAGGGCCAAATTTCTGCGCAGGCGGGTGGAGGGGTATCATCGCCAGGTCTTTCTCAAAATGGAGTGAACCCAGGCAACCGACTTCCACTCAAGTAGATGATACTTTCTTTAAGCTATGTCGGGACCCCCTAAACTAGGATGGCAAAGCAAGCTTAAAACCTCCATGTGGGCGACGTGAACAGCGACACACGACTCTGCCAGCTACAGTTGAAACAGCAAAAACGGCTTCTGGCCTGGATCTTCTTCTGCGGCTTGGAGGCCAGGCCGTCCGTGTACTGTTTGTACAGCTTCTCCCAGACCTCACTGAGTCACTCGGCACCACGGCTCCGAAGAATGGAAGCTCCAAACTCCAAAGAGGACATAAGCATGATAATTGATAATACGTGCAGCATGGTTCTTGCCAAAGAGGTCAGTAGCGACAACGCACAAGAACTCCCATGTGACATGCTGTCGGCAAAGGTCCGAACGTCAAGACGGTGCTTGATGTAGGGAGCCTGCTTTTGGACCTTGAACCTCAGGGTTGAAAAAAAATGCCCTGTGAACCTCGCTGCACCAAGCAGCCAAAGCAACGCTGGGCATGGGACTCACCTTCAAACTTTCCCTTCTCACCGATCCTGCGCTGGCAAGATGTCCGTCTCTCTCTTTTCTTCAGCTCAATCTTAGAAGTCTGCGCTTTCAGGACTTCTCCAAAAAAGAAACATGATCAAATCACGCATCTCCTGGGACCGCCGCCTGCGTACGCGCGTTTGCCTGCTGCAGCTGCCATCGGTCTCTCTCTCTTCAGCCTTTGAGAGTGGAGACGCAGGTTCAACGAAATGAGATGAGATGCGGGTGCTTCGGTTGCCAAAGACCGATTCAAGTCGCATCCTTTTGTCGGACACGTGCTGTACTGTAAATGGCTGTGGCTGTCGTGTTTCTCATTGATCCGCAACTCCTCTCGAGCCCGAACACCGAGACCCCACGAATCTCACGTCGACTCCAGGTACAGCCTAGGGGGCAAAGCGTACGGGGCCCAAAGCGTAAGGGGCCTCCGTCACTTCTTGAGCAAAGCTACGGCCTTGGATGTCTCAAAAGGTGTGCGTGTGGCTGGTGTTCCTCTCTTTTGAGCAATGGCGCGAACTTTGTTCTCGCAATTTTGCACGTCTGAGCAGATTCTAGCTCTCCGGCTTTGGGGGCTCTGGCATTCCACTCGGCGTGGCTTCCTGATCGGCCGCCGAACCTTGCGAAGAAGCTGTTCGCTGTCGGCAACTCATCCTACGACCCGCCCCATCGCGACAGCAACGATTCCCGGGCCTTCACCACCGTCTCGGCTTTTGCCTTCCTCGCCTTCCTGCTTCCTGCGCATTTCCTTGATGACCTCAGTCGCCGAGAATCGAGATCTTGGCCATTCTGTGCTGGTCCCACACAACTCGGATAGAAGGCGAGTAGCAACTTGCACACGAGGCTTCCTGAGCACGACCCGACAACGGCAACGGTGGTTCAGCATTACAGCATTGATTGCTGGCATTGTCTTCTTAGAGCAAGTGGCTGCCTCTCCAAAGCCACTTCTATCAAGGACTGTCCACCAGCATTCTCGGCATTCCAACGTAGACTCGTGGTGTCAAAGAGGCGGCGCAGGTCCTGAAAAGGGAAAGCCATGAAAGCCAGCAAAAGCTTATGAGCACAAGAAACGGCCTTTCTGAACAGCATGGAAGATCATGGAACCACACGGAGTATTTGGAACTCGCTGTGCTCGTGTCATGGTGCGATCCTCAGCATTGTCTTTGGCCACCGCTTTGAATGCCTTCTGCGTCAGCATCTGTCCAGCATCCAGGGCGATCAGGCTTTGCCTTTTGCCAAGAGGTACATTAAAAAAAAGTGCTAGTCTAAAGGACGACAAGAAACTCTCCCGTCACACGAGGCCTGTAGAGCTCAAAAGCCGCATCTGCTGCCACGTCTTGGCCAATGGCTGTTGCATCCTGCCTTGAATGCACATCGAGGGGCAAAGCCAGAACACATGCCACGATTCATCTGGCAACCATATAATACTACATAACCTGTCAACTTCTCATCAGCATATCCGTGCTGAAACATGCTTACTGTAGCTTGCACCAGCTATTCAAGTCCTGCATATACGGGGAGCAAAATCATTTGTCTACCATATCCGCATTCCTTTGCAACCAATGAATCCCCACATATCCCAGTCCCGCCCACTCACTCCCCTCCATCCTCGCCCCTTCCCCCAAAAACTTCTCATAGAATCGAGCTCAAAACAGGACTTGGCGCTCACTACTTGTGATTGCAAGCACGAGAGTTCACCGAGATGCTCCAAGATTTCCTTGAGAGCCGGATCGCGTGCAGCCAGCGCTTCCACATCAGCCTGCCGAGCACCGAATGCTTACATGCGCAGCTTCCCCTCTTTGGCTTTTCGAGGTCACGACACCACCTAGGCAGCAAAGAGTTGAACAGGCCTGACAAGACCTGCGAACCCTAACACCGGGCAGCCGAGCCCAAAGACCGAGCATCAACATTGCTCACCAATTCGACTGCCATACAGAAGCTCGAAGCACGCCAACAACAAGGCCTTCCGAAGCAACCCGCAACCCTCCGTACACCTCCTCGGCTTCGCGCAGGTGGGCAGCATCTTGAAGAGGCCCTAGGTTGTTCCTAGAGTCCTGGCCATGCCAAGCCAAGAGGCAAGGCATGTAACACGCACATACCAACCTCACATGCCAGAAAATGCATCGTGTTGCATCTCATAGCGACTCTCTTCCCCAAGCAGGTCCTCTTGTGCACCTCGTGACTCTCGGGTTTGCTTTGGTGACGGCAGGTCCTTCGCAGCACTACGGGAATCCACCGATCTCAACCATCTACGCCTCATGGAAACAAGTCGAAACATGTATTCTGCACAGAAGCACATCCACAAATTCAGGATCTTTGGGCATTGAGTAAACCAAGAATTGTCCAGCAGTGAAGGCTGACGCTGTTCTTCAGCTTCCACGTGGCCATGTCCCCAGCCCACCTTGCATTCCACAAGAGAACACGACAGGAAATGCCCGCAACATAGCACACAAGGTGTGGTGCGAAAGGTGCACCGTTTCTTTCGAGTCAATGTTTGTAGATGGTCGCCCGTTGTCACTTCGGGTGCAACATGCATCGTAATGTGGAACTTGGCTTCCATTTTGGGGCGCTCTATGGCGCTCTTTATCCTCTTTCAACGGGCCACGGCCTCGGAGGCTGTTGGCAACGTGGCCGGCTCCGACTGGCCAAAGACATCTTGATTAGCGTCAGTAGATGTCTTTAGTGTCGACACCGCGTACTTCTCGGCCCACCATCAGAGAAAAGTCTGCTGCCATCTAGCATTCACGCATCGCCGGAAAAAGGCCATGAACTCTAAGCCGCCGTCGAGCCAGGGCTGCAGCAGAGATTTTGGCCGTGTTCGCGGAAAGCGCTGAATCCAGAGTCGTGCCCGTGCGGTGAGTGTTCTCATGCAATTTTCATAAAGAACCAAGGGGTGGAAGGGAGGGAGTATCGGGGGGCCATGTTCCCTTACTCGGGCTTATGAAGGCTTATTTGGGATTATTAAGCCCCTATGTGGGGAATATGGGGCCCTTACACCCCCCTCTCTTCCACCCCTTAATTCCTTATGAACAACGCACACAAGTGTGCTACAATCCGTCATTGTGTGCCGCGCCCCATTCCCCCGCGTCCTACATGGCCGTTGATGTACCAAATAAGCCGGGCCTCTGAGCCCTCGCCAGCTACACGGCAGAGGCAAACAGCAGGCTGGGCATCTCTGATTCACTGATTCTATCTGATTCTCGTGATGCATGAGGCAGGCAAACCGTTCAGTAAACATCAGGAAACACTCCGAAAAGCATACGATGAAGACAGGCAAGCCACGCAGCCGGGCGGTGGTGCTTCGAAAGTGCGGAAGCCACGCCAGGAAGGTTCCAGCACCGCCAAAGCTGCGGCCATTGCTGCAATCGAGGCCCGTCGCTTTACCCCCGAACACCTGAGCTGCTTGTAGATCTTCTAAACCCCTTCGTTCGCCTTCCAGCGCAACTGTGTCAAAGGGTTGCCACCGATTCTTCGCCCCTTAAGGGCAAGAGCAGCTTGCGGAGGTGCTGAATGAAGGAAATGCCCCATGTTGCTTACACAGTTGCAGGCAAGTCTTTTTGGAACTGGCAGTCGCTCTGCTACAGTAGCCACTACTCTTTCTGCACCTTTGGCAGCAACTTCAGCAGAGGCAAATCGATAGAGTCCTAGATTCCTAGATTGTTCGGAGCTTTTTGCAGCATTGGCAGCCTTTGTGCCACTCTCTAGTTCTGCGGAGCCATGCAAGCGACAGCCTGAGATGGCCTCGAGATCATTAACAAATATTGACAACAAAGGGGGCCAGAAACCCCGCGACGCCTGGCCCAAAATCTGAGTGCTGCGGGCGTTTAGGACCTCAGCCAGCAAAACAAGGCTCGAAACTTAACCGCGCTCGTTTGTTCAAGTCCGGTGCTGCGTCGTGTTGGGACCGCACGGGGAGTGAACAGGGAATGTCAGAGTCAGAGATGCATGTTGGAAACAGGGGAGGGCCATGTTGGGAACGGCCGCAGGCCGTGATGGCACCATTTCCAGTGACCCCAAAAAACCCTCAATCCGGCCGTTCCCGACTCGCGCGTTTCTCACAGTCTCTGTACAGACCCCGGGCGTTCCCAGCACTGGCGTTCATGACACCACCCAGTTGCAGCCGACCCAGCTAACGTCCTTTGTGAGTCTTGTGGCTCTTGTGAACATGCTAGAGTTGACGACTGTTGATGACTGGATTCACAGAGCTGGAGTCTTAGACGTCGGACCAGCCACGGAAAGCCGGCGGCAGCTCGGAGGCGGGAACCTCAGAGGAGCCCACAGCAAGGTAAGCTCGACTTGCTCGAAGACGTTCTAAGGTTCTCTAAGATGGTGCAGGCACTGGTGGCAGAGGCGGCCGCCTGAAACAGAGTCAAAGATGCCAGGTACCCATTCTGCATCACCTGGCAGGCTCCCATGCTTTTGGAGCGTTGGCACATCGACCCTGCCGCACCTGCTCTAGCTCAACTACCACTGCCTCTAGCGACTCTAGCGCAGCACTGCACCACACATACTAGGGGCTGCCCGCCTCGAAGATGAGCCCCGGAAACGCGTAAAAGTAAGTGCTGCCAAACGATGTGTGGCTGTCGTCACGTTGATTCCTTAGTGTCAGTCTAGGCCCCAGAAGCGTTTCAGGGGGCCCCAGAATCGAGTCAGCATGGCTTCCTGCCTGCCAAGGTCCTGGCATGACGAGCGGCCGCGATTTGGAGAAGCCCGCGTGTTGCAGGGCCTGTCCCTTCCCCCCGTTATATGGCCTATAGGATTAATAGGATAAGTAATTGTGGGACATTGTAGCATGTAGCCGCGGACAGTCGCAGGGCACTCAGGATCATCATAAAACAGAATGCACACGGCCTCCTCGATGTCTGGCCACAGCCATCGGATCTGCGTCGATGTAGGGGGAACATGGAGGAAGCAAGCGAGACGCTACATGACACACAAGGAATCGCAAACTGCGGTTGAGCTGTTGAGCGTAAAGCAATGCTACAAGGCTACACTTGAAGGAGAGGCAGTGGCGGGGCGGTGTTGGGTCAACCAGGATCCAGGCATCGATGCACACAGCGCCCGCAGACTCGGGGCTGGGCCTGGGAACGGCTGAGGTCTGCCATCACTACAAACTGCAATGGCAGCTGCCCCGAAGATCCCCGACCGTGTCATCAAGTCGTCTTGGTCGTCAGAGTCGATTGTCGTCCCTGCAAAACGGCATGGTGGAGGAGTCATAGTCCTTACATACGGCGGCCCACCTTCCACTCCAACCATCCGCACCGAAGACTCCTGCACCAGGACGGCCGTGCACAAATTGCTGATCCTTACAAGCTCTCGCCTGTTCTGTTGGCTCTCACTCCACATAACTTCACGCGCAGCCCTAGTCAGCTTGAACACTTGCTGTCATGATCCATGGGGGCATGATGCAGAATGAGGCTTTTGCCACTGCCACTCTCCACAAACAATCGTCGTGGGCGGTCGGCTGCATACAAGTACAGCCGAGCCAGCCGGTAAGACATAAAACCTGTCCGCGTCAGCGGTAGAAGTTCACAATGGCAAATGTAATGACCTCCGCCGTCAGCGGTTTCGTGAGATCTCGGGGCATGCGTTGCGGGCTGACGTGCCAAGGAACTACTTGACAACCCTGAACCCTGAACCCTAAACCCTAAACCCTAAACCCCAAAGGCCCTAAACCCTAAACCCTGTTGGACGCCGACATTGGCAGAGAGCGCCCCCATCTGGCCGCAGAAGCCCATGGTGGAGGCCAAGTGCTCCGCCGCCTCGCGGCTGCTCGTAAGGCCTGCGGGGCAGCTCTTGGGTGTCTCACGGTGTCTCTCTCTACTTCTGATTATGGCACAAATTGCTCCGGAGTTTAGGGTAAGCAAAACAAAGGGCCACTGACCACACAAGCTTGAGTGCAAACCCGCCCAAAGTGCCCAACATGCACAAACTCCGTCATCGGAAGGAAAGAGCACTCAATGAGGAATGTCCATGTGATTCTGCATTTGTTTGCTCCTTCATCCACCTGTCCACTGCGTGCTAATGCTGCAGATGCTGCTGCTACTGCCGTACAGGTTTATTCGAAGGTGCCACCGGACATCTTTTTGGCAAACCTTTCAGTGTCAATCATTGAAGGGCGTGTTGATGAAGTGTGGGTCGAACAGCGGAAAAACACAAGCAAGCAATGCACCTAAACACAAAGTATAAGCGTAGAAGCCTGGCAACAAACAACCGAAGCAAGAGCACGGCAGACTCACCACCGACCCTTCCTGTCTCTCCTGTCAACTACGTTACAGTATGGTCTGCTGGTGCCAATTCCATGTCCGCCTCGCGCTCGAAGGAAAATGGCGGAGACCAACATACCCCGAGAGAAGAAGAAGCACATGACGACCAGCGGAAGCACCAGAGTTGCCTCATGCGTTCACCCAAAAGCGTCAAAAAAGATGTTGCCGAGTCGAGCTGCTTGGGCACCTGATCGTAGGAGAGGTTGTCCGAAATGATCGAACTGTCCTTCAGGCCGGAACATGGATGTCAACTTTGGATGCTCTTAAGCTATGATTGCAGGAGAGCTGCCACTGCAGATGCTATGAGGAAGCTGAAGCAGAGAGGAAGCACCACACCGCCCACCAAGGGCAGATTCTGCTGCAAAGGTCCGCTCCTTTTGCCAACACTTTGCTTCTACTCTTCAGGGTTTTAGGGTTTTTGGGGGTCTAAGGCTATGTTAAGGCTATGCATGTGCAATGTCAGTCTGGAATTGTCCAAGGCTCTTGGCTGTGGGTGCCAACATTCGACCACTGACATCCCCAATGGACTGGAAAATCATCATTCGGAGAAGCAGATGGCATTGTCGACTCCTCTCCTGCAGACCGTCCGAATCGGGCCAATTTCAATCACGCAGAATCTAGCAACGTAAACTTGCCACCCCCCCCCCCTCCCCCCCCCAGCGTCAGGAAATGAAGCCGCCACAAATGGCAAGATGCAGGGCAAGGTATAAGTTGCGGCATATGTACAGAAATTGACCTCAGGTAGCAGGCAAACGTCTATCGTCTGGTTCATGCAGCGACAATGCTGACATAGCTGTAAAAAAGCCCACCATCATCGCTAGTGAGACCAAGAAGCCGCCTCACAGAGTACAATCCTTAGAGAGGCGCCCTGGTACCCCCAATACCCTCTTTTACCCCCTATTCCCCATTACCCCCCTGTTCGTCCTTATTACCCCTAGGTTGGCCGTCTTCAAATTTCCAAGGCTTTCGGAGAACTTTACCCCAAGCTGCTTCTGCTTTCGCGGCAAGCCAGCGGACCTTGGGCCCGGGTGATCGACCTCTCTGATCGTTTCCTTGTTGGCCTCCTCCTCCGCGCGCAGCAAGGCCACCGCTTTCCTGAACCCCGAACTCTGCATCTTTCGCGGCACGAAAAAACAGCCACGCCACCGCCCCTCCCGCGTGTCATGCGCATCGCCCCAGCTCTCAAGTCTGCTGAGTCTGCTGAGTCGGCTGAGTCGGCTGAGGCGCTCGTGCATCGGATTGATTAAATCCAGGACGCGCTTCCCGAGGCTTTCAGAAACCAGTCCAGCGGCCCAGACCACCGCAGGGCCCAGCTTGTCCTGCGCTTGGCACGCGGCCCAGGGAAAAAGCGAAAATTCTGCTACGGCAGAAGCGGCAGAAGCGGCAGAAGCGGCAGGGAGCGCGGCATGCGCAGCAAACCGGAGCGAACCCCGGTCCTGGACGATGAGCGTTACGATGCCCCACAGCAGCCTGAGCCAAGATGCCATCCCAAAATGCCAACTTTTACAGTTGCTGCCATTGCTTACCTGTGTGCTCAACTCCAGCCCTAGTCGCTGAAAGATTGCTGCAAGCGCAAAGAAGTTGCTTACGCCAAAGCGGGGGTTATCCGCACTTCGTCCTGAAACCTGTGCGCGACATGCTCGGATGAAGTGGAACCGCAAAGGCTCTTATTGCGCGCAATAAGCCGCGCCAGCAAAAGCCGTGGACTCGCCTGAAGTGTGGATAGCCCGAGCACCACAAAATTTCCAAGAGACATGCCTGTCCAAATTAACGAACGTTCATGAACGGAGGGGAGGGGAACGGTAGCAGCAACTGAACCTACACCGACAGCTTTGGTACACGGTGGTGGATGTCGCATCACCAGCGACCTCAGACGGGTAGATACTCTTGTGACTCTTGTGGCGAAGGGCCCCAGCAACACAACACCGCCGCGCAGATGCTCATGTTTTGCAGGGCAGGCGCCAATAGGTCAGATCCGACAGGCAGCCGAGACCACCGGCCAGAACGGAGATCGCTAAGAGAGGTATGCTACGCCCCATCAGCTCTGAGTCCTCAGAAGCCGAGCAATCATTTCAATCCTATGTGGGGTGGACTTCACAACTTCCAGATGCTGTTTCTGGCAAGGCTCCCAGAAGAGAGCCAGAAACATCAGAAGCAGTAGGGAAACTTGGTGCATGCCGTTGACGACAAGATTTACCTGACAGTGTCTGGCTGCAGCGGGCGACAAGTCTATAAGTTGCGACCAGGTCACGTCCAGCGACCCGGTGTGATGCTCAATGATCTTGTAAGAAATGGAGAAGATGTTGCCTCTCGCCGAATCGGCCAAACTCCAGTGCAGGTCGGCGACAGTCACCAAGAAAGTTGGGTTGAGAGTTGCCTCCTAGCCTTTGGCTTGGACCTATATTGGCACTTGTGGAATGCAAGGGCTGCTGAATGTGGAGGACACATGATTTTCCCCAGATTCCCCCGAAGTCAGAGGCCTGCTTGAACCATCATTGAGAGCTGTGCACCAAGGGAATCAGACTCTGGCAGGCGCGAGACCAGAAGCGGCAACTGAGCAAAGATTGCATTGCCCACCCACCAACTACCTGGGGATATTCAGGGGAGAGATTGGAGGGAGTTCTTGCAATTGAAACTCAAATCAAGCCCTTGACTCAGCTGCAGAGCACGAATTTTGTCCCAAGAGGCTCATGCCAAACCTCGGTCTCACATGCACGGGGGTTGACAAGGATGCGGGATAGTAACGGATAGTACCCAAATGCTCTCCCCCTCGGAGAATTGCAGCAACGCCAAACGGAGGTCTGAGGTAGTACGGGCAGACTTATTCACCAGCCGATCCAATGCAGCAGCAGAAACATTGTAAACAACGCTGTCATTCCGCAGCCAATCCCTTGCTTATCAGCTTCATGATGGCGATGGTGGTTTTCGTGTGCTTGTGCCTCGAAGATTCACAGAATCCGCCGGGCATGCGGATGTCGAAACAAATGTCGCTGCATGACTTGCCAAGGTACCTTGGACAAGAAGCTTGATCCGCGGTGAAACAAACGTTGTCGGTCCACGAACTTTGCGCGCTGTGACTCAGCCATGGCTTCTTTGGTAGAAAAAATGTTGTGCGGGTCTCGCTTTCAGCTAACCTCCCCCAGGACATGCCAGAGAATGCAATGTGGGGGGTGCGAGGGGGGGGGGGGGGGATTCCGACAATTATTCTAAAAGTCCCTTTGTGATTCGTTTGGGTGGTCGGTTGACGAAGGATTGCGTTTTTCGCTCTGTGACTCTGCCATGGCATTTGTTTTTGGATGCAAACTCTGCAGAGGCCTCGCATTCAGCTAGCCTTCCCAAGAACATGCCAGACAATGCAATACCGGGGGGGGGGGGAAGGGGGTCCGACAATTACGGAGTCCCTTGGTGATCCTTCTTGGCGGTCGGTTGAAGGAGTTTTGTCTTCGTCGTGGGGGCGCGTTAGGACTCTAAATGCGGGACCCTGATCTTGGGAACCTCCCCCAGCCTGTCCTCTTCGATCTGCAGCTGGAAGAAGCACCGCCTCGGACTGCGAACTGGAAGCCCGGAGTGGCGGTGGTCAGTGCGCGCCAAGCTGCGTGTAGCGAGAGAAACGCTCATGCGTGGGAGGATTCCTCAGAGCCATCAGAGGCACCAGCTTGTGTAAAAAAGGTGGAAAAAAGTTGTCTCCACTTTACATCATCTTTTCGTGTCTGCCAAACTTTGTTAGGTAGGCGGCGCATGGAGCACAATCTTCTGCACCAAATGGGTTTGCCTGATTGCAGTGCTACGCAGACCTCCACGCCAAGTGCTACGAATGGAGAGTTGATCATGAAATCTATGGCCGGCACCCGTCAAACAGCACATCCATGCCTCAACAGGTTCGTCTCCACCCCCGAGCTACCTCTTACTCATTCCATCTCATTACAGCCTCTGAGTGCTGGGAATCCTGGCCAAGGTAGAAATAATTGTAGTAGTAGTCCAGGCTCGATGGCCTCGACCTCTCTCAGGAGAAGTGAGCTCATTCACTCATTGAGCTCATCCCTCTTAGCCACCGGCGCTCGGGAGTGAATGCGGAATGCGTCCATGTCCTTCACGCAAACCTGCGTAGGGGTTGCGGGGGTGCCCGCGCAATCAACAGCAAAGGAGCCGCCTGTTGCGGCGGCCCGAAATCTGAGAAGATGTCCTGCACTAGAACGAAGAAGCTAAGGCAGCTAAGAACATTTAACTACCAAAGCGAAGAACAAATCGTCCTGCGGCATTGCCCCAAACCGCAGCCGCTTTCCCGACATCTTCACACCCAGGCCGGGGCGGACGGACACGGCCTGCGCTTGGCAGCTTGGAGCTGGAACCCGGCTCAGCTATCATCCAGCTATCATCTCCTATCCCGAGACCTCAAGAAGTTCTGGAACCACGGACACAGGGCTTTGAAACGAAGGAGCACTCGACGCCTCGGAGGCAAGCTGTCGCTTGTCAAACGGGACGAGCGGTTACAAGTGAGCTCGTGGATTCGTGGATGACAGCTAAGCCAGCAACGAAGACCCAAAGCCGGGATGCTGCAGGAGACGCCCTGTCAACGTGCGACTCGGCACTCTACTGCCCAAGTGTGTCAACGCGGACGAAGGGAAAGGGTCAGTCGTCAGCAGTGGGCTAATGGCTTTCATGAGCCCAGCGAGGTTCGGTAAGCCGGCTGTTTGGAGTACTATTCTCTCGAGGCCAAGTAATCTCCAATTTGGTCATGGTCGATAGCTGCATGCATACTTTGATTAAGCCCTGAAACCGGAACTCCCGAACTTTACATTCCGAAGTCCCTCCTAAGTCCCTACCAGTAGCCCATCAAAATCTCGAAAGGAAACACACAGGAACCTGAAAACTCGACCAAAAGCTGACGTGCTCAAACCCTGGCTTCGGCTTTGTCGGGCAAAGCCCTGAGCCCTGTTGGCGTCTCAAGCCCCCTCCCTGAGACTGCCATGCCAAGAAGAGACACATACTGCAGGAAGGCCGGTGCCTTCCCTCCAGGTCCATGGGATGTTCTCCTTTGGCCTTTGTCCACACGTAGCATGAACTGCAGGCAAAAAGCCGACCGAACCTGCTGACGCACTCCCATGCATATGCATGACCAGGACTCTCTCGTTTTCTGCGCGGCTTGCGTGATGGAGGTTGACTTTGGCCTAAGTGTGCGTAAACAGGAGGCTCATCAGTTCAAAAGCTTGTCCAAGCGGCGCCGTCACTCAACTTTAAAAAGTCACCCCGGGCATCCTCTCTGGACAGTGAATTCCTTGTGACGCTCTTTTGCGCTGCCAGCCATTGCCAGCCCGAAATCAAGACTATTCGGGTAAAGGATAGGCAAGTATAGCTGCACAACAGGTTCTTCAGAGCTTTGCAGCGCGGAGCTCTCGAGACATCTGAAAATTGAATTGAGCAAGCAGTGCAACCAATCACCCCATTCGGGGTGGTCAGCTTGCTTGGCGCTTGCTTTGCAGCTTCAATTTGTAGAAGCAAAATCCAAACGGCGCAATGTGACAATGTATGACACATCGGAGTCGGCTTGGTTGCACAAGGCCGTCGGCTTGTGACCAAAATGAAACATTCCCAAGCTAGCATCAGTGGCCTGCCATATATGAGTCTGACCAGGGAAAGCAAACCAGCACCTTTATTGTCCAAACTCGACTTGACTCTACGCCTTACTTAACAACAGAACGGTTCCAACATACGAGCTGGCAGCACTTTGGCTGCTGCACAGCAAACTTTTCCCACAGCGCTGCCGATGATCTTTCAGCGGCAGAGAATCCCTGATTGTCATGGGGGGCCCTAGTGGCGCCCAGCACGGGCTTGCCGCTAGAATCTTGACACACATGACGCCTTGAACGCATTCTTGCGCCTAAGTGTAATGCCTATGGGCACGTTCTCACTGTTCGGTTCAGTCTTGACCGTGTAAGGCGCGCGTTTATCACTACGATTGTATCGTCGTAGTCCAGGCATGGCAACGTTGGCCATGAAAGGCCCACTTCGGTGCATGATATGAATAACACTGAGTTTTCCGATGTGTTCCATAACGGACATACCGCAAGTGGACCTTGTCGAGTTTACTAGCAATTGCAAAGATTGATGGGCTGTGCGTCCAACGAAGCAAGAAGGTAGGCATTCCCATTCTTGCTCAGCTCTTACAAAGAGGAAGTCTCGCACACTGCACACTCCATGCCGAAATCACTCCATGCCGAAATTGGGCAGGGTTTCGCACCGACGCTCGGTTCCTTCTCTAGGTGAATTATGACATGCGTCAAATCATGCGTCCATCTCCTGGACAGGGCCGAGCATCAAGCACAGAGGCGTGAAAGGCACACGAAGTATGCTGCTGAGTTAACTCTTTAGGGTTGCTTGAGGAGTGGCCATGATATCGGAGGCAGCACCTCGTCCGCATAGCATTGATCATGGAAACTGCAGAGAGAGACAGTTCACGTAGCCTGCAGCTGTGCTCACTGAACCTTCTTTGCACCACTGAACCTTCACTGCATGGCAGACACAATCAGCCCAGACAATGTCCTAGCTGTCTTAGCTCGCGACTGAGGCCAGCGTTCACCGCGTGACCTCAGACGTGCTTCTTGTGATAACAATTCCACATAAGGCAAGATCATGTCTTCCTCTTTGGTCAGGCATGTTCACGTCCCAGAGTCTCTCCACGTACTCGCAGACAGCGATGACGCAGGTCAGCCCGTCGTGCGCAAGGAGCCGAAAAAGATCCGATGTCGGCATCATTGCTGCCGTGATGCCGCTGGTCTCAGTGCGGAGTCGGTTCGTGGTGGGAAGCCCTCCCTGCTTGCTCTCTTTATGTAGTTCTTCGTTTTTTCGTTCTTTCGTTCTTTCGTTCTTTCGTTCTTTCGTTCTTGCGTTATTTCGTTATTTCGTTATTTCGTTCTTTCGTTCTTTCGTGCTTTCGTTCTTTCGTTCTTTCATTCTTTCGTTCTTTCGTTCTTTCGTTCTCTCGTTCTCTTCCTTCCTTCCTTCCTTCCTTCCGCCGCATTAGGCCCCCGAAGGAGCCGCCCCTCTCGTTCTCTCTCTCTCTCTCTCTCTCTCTCTCTCTCTCTCTCTCCTGGCAGCCTTTGCTTGGACTAGCATCCATGTTATGCATGTTCAAGCCACGTGTAACCGGGTTCATTTGCATCCAAGTTACTGGGTACCAGCCAGCCCCGAGCTTCACCTGGCAGGAACACTCTGTCTGCTTTCTCCTGCACCGCCTGTGCTTCCTACAACTCCAGGCCTGCGTCCCTCTCGTTGCCAGCAGTGGCACTTTGCTTGTGGACACGACATCCACGGCTAAGGTTCTGGCTTCTGATTCAGAAACCTAAGTATGCTCGATCTCCCTGTCACAAACCGACATGGGCACGTGTCGTCACCCGGCAACGCGTTGATGCAAACAAGGCGCAGGGAAAGGCCACCTGAGCCATCAGTGCGCAAGAACGAGCGGGCTCAGTGCTCAAGCTGCATTCAGAATGTCCCATGCTGTCGTGCCCACGTGCCATTCTGCACCAGCATAATGCGGAGGCGCACCTGCCAAAGATATTCCACTTGAGATTGCTTGCGCAGCCCTGCTCAAACAAACAAACACAACTGTTATCTAGCAGTAAGCTCGGTAGGCCTCGTTTTCGACCCACTTGAGCTGGAGAGCCAGCCTTCGCAACGAAAGACGAAAGATTGAAAACCCTGGAGAGAAGCGAGGCTTGCCAGCTCGCTTGTGCAATAACCAACGCGCTTATTTCAGTGAATATTTCAGTTTATTTGCGTTTCTGTCAGGAAATCTGAGCTTATTCCAGGTTATTCCGAAACCTGTGCAAGCCAAGCACATCCAGCACATCTCTCTAAGCCAGCGTCGACTGGGTCCGACCATCCGGCTTCTCCAGGTCAAAGAATATCGGTTCCTGACCATCGACATGGGAACATCCGCAGGAACGAGTCTACAAGTGCAGGCACCCCTGCAGATGGTGCGAGAGATGGCGACACGACCATGATAGACTCGTACCAGACCCCGCAAGAATGTCCGAGTTCGGCGCGCTGGCGCGGCAGATGACATCAAGGCTTCGGTAGGGGGCAGGCACCTGGGCCTCCTCCCGGAAGCCTTTCGGGAAGACAATTGGATACATCATGATACATCCTGTAGATCCTCTCAAAAAGATATGGGAGATACCTCTGGAATCTTCGGGAATCGCGGAGCTGACATCTAAGATGTGGACAGATATGCCGCATCAAAACCCGTCCAGGAACTCCTGCTCAGCGCAAGAAAACGAGAAGCGCATAGCACGGCTTGCGATGAGATGTCCTGCTTCTTTCATCTGCTTCATGGCTTTCATTCTGGCAATCTCAACCTGCAGCCAGGGGGCCAAGATTTCAGGTGTCTACACAGTTCCATCAGATGCCTGAACCTACCTTGCAGAGCAACGGCAACGACTCAGGCAGCCTTGGACAAGAGCTGCTTTGCCACAGCCGGGTTTGGCAGCGGCAGTGGCACCCCTTTCAAATCGATGACTGAATGCTTTCGGACCTTGGGTGCACTCGGAACAGCGTTGCTGCATCCCAGCGATGCAAGTCCGGCTCAAGGGACCGCTGGGATGGGCTGACAAGATGGTGTAACATAAAAGGCGAGCGCGTGTCACGCGCTCTGATTGCAGGGCGGGAAAACAACGTTCTTCAGCAAGCTCTGGCACTCCGATTTGCTCTCTCCGTCGCTTTTTGCAATAGTGGTTGACCAGCAAAAGTAGGAACAAAATGCCCGAAGAACAGACAAGACTGAAGAGTATTTCGTCAGTGTTGGCCCGAGGCACCGATGAAAGAGTGCCAAGAATGCGTTTGAGCTCACAGCGGCCATGCCCATCACCTGTCCGGAACAAGGGTACAAACTCACCTATGCTTGTGATGAGATCTCACCCAAACCTGCCTTTATAGTTGAGGACGGTGAGGCAATTCGATGAAAGGTCCTGGGTGCGTTCCCAAAGCATCCCCCTACAGCCTTCCAGCAAGCTAAGCCCCGGGCGAAGTCAGGAAGCGCTAGGCTAAAGCACTTTGCCCAAAGCTCACCTCGAAGTCTCGACTCGCAACAAATGCACCAACGCGCACCCCTCCACCCCCCGTGCCAAGCCTGCAATGATGGTTCTGCGAGACTCTTTGCAGGCACTTTCAATCACCGCGAGGGAACGACCTTCCAGCGCTTTCCGCAGACATGCTCAGAGATCTCAGAGTACAGAGTACTCCATCATGCAACCTCAGCATCCTCAACCCAGGCAACCGAGATGCACTACACACAAATATCATGCAATCCCAAGTGGCTGCTGAGACAGGGTAGCAAAGCGCATTGTAGTAGCTCGACCACACTGCACAAGTTCTGCCGCGCAGGTGGCATGGCAAGGCATAGAGCGCGCGAGAGGAATGGGACACTTAATGACACTGATCATGCATTCAGTGACGAGTCAGAGAAAACACGGTACGTGACATTCTAGGGTTGTCAAGCCACGTCTTCGTCTTGTCTGTCTAGCAATGCTCGGATATAGGCGAAAGACATTCATTGGCCATTCTTAAACACATCTCGACATACCAAATGGCTGCAAATAACCGCATCTCTCAAGCATCAACAGGCGCAGGAGCCTCGCAACTCTCAAAATGTGCTCGGATTTCAAGTCTCATGAGCTTTCATGATCACTGTGCCCAAGGTGAGCACCGCTAAAGCTTCAAAGAGGTCCTTCACAGCGCATGCCGCGAAAGACTCGTGCAAAAAGCAAACTACTCAGGAAGACTTGAACAATCGTCCTTGGGCAATGGGAATTCAAACGCCAGCCCGGGATACTGCAACCTCAACTGCCATGGAGGTGAAGCACCTATGCTGTCTGAGGAACCACCGGGACCCCTGCAGGTAGAAGGGCTCAGGCTCTTGTCTGAAGTCGCCTATCCTGGGCTACTCGAACTCGGCAACAGACAGACAAACTGACACCAACGCCCACACACACCCACCCACCCACCCACCCACCCACCCACCCACGCACGCACGCACGCACGCACGCACGCACGCACGCAAGCACACCTGCACACCCACACCCCCACACACACAACCAACCAACACACACACACACACGTCACAGACATGTCACACACACACACACATGTCACACGATTGCATGATGAAGGCTAATCGGAGAAGCATGTCAAATTGGTAGCCAGCACGAGGTAGACGAGATGTCACCATATCACTGCATGTCCCAGATTCATGTGACGCCCAATAGACATCAGCGTACACTCACTTTGCTAGAAGTGACGTGAGGCTAGCTGCAGTCGACAATTCACAGGTAAGCCTGCATCTTGCTTGTACAACATCGCGAAATTCTGTGATCCCATCCATCCTCATGGTATGACTCCGCTGAGTCAGGTGACCACCAGGACCCCGCCTCCCCTGTTCCCTGGTCGACCGACATGGTTCTCACCCAGACGCACGCACACGCACGCACAAGCACACGCCCGCACACGCCCGCACACGCACGCACACGCACGCACACGCACGCACACGCACGCACACGCACAGGCACGCACACGCACAGACAAGTTTGAAGCTGAACTCGTGGACTGGGGGTTGCCACACGATTCGCCAATGTTCAGGCTTTCGCACGACACGAACACCAATGAAAACAAAAAGAGTGGATGAAGTGATGGAGGGACACTACCCCCACCTCGCCAGTGCCACTCTGGCTTAGGCAATAGATAGAGGTTCGCTGGACAGGGTTTCCTGCCCCATGACCTTGTTCCAGCATCCTTAGAGCTGACGACCGAAGGAACCGGCCAACTCCCGAGAAGAAATGGGCAGTTTTGATGGGATTCATCGTGAAAACGCACAGCGACGGTGCTGACAGTCATGCACAGCGTGCGCTATGAATGATGTCAGACGTCAGACACACAGTGTACCACAAGAAACTCTCGTGCCCCTGCTGAACTCAGCGGAACTCGGCAACTTGCTGCTAGAAGGCCAATTCTCATAAGCAAGGAACAGCGGATGCACACCCACGAAAACACACCCACAAAAACAAACACACACACACACACACAGAGACACACACACACACACACACACACACACACACACACACACACACACACACACACACACACACATGCAAGTGTCTTGAAAAGGCCAGGAGCCACGTGGGGCCGAACATCTGGTACACCTGGCCAAAAACTTCAAAAAAGAATAACAAGCTACCCGAAGTGTCCCACCTCCCGAAGGCTCGGTGCAGCCATCCCTGCCGCTGCAAACTCGCGCCCCCCGTAGACCAGGCTGGGAAGTAAGCTGGCCTCTGCCGCAGAACCCATCGGATATCGGGCTAAGACCGAGTGGGCCCTCTGCCTCAGGCACCTCTTGTGCTGCCTCGTTCTCGGACATCGCCTTCTCGGCTTTCTCGGCCTCGAAAGGAACCCAATAGCAAAGCCAAAAACAAACAGAAATCACAACACAAAAGCTCATGATCTCAGGCCGAGAAATGCTTTCTTGGTTTTCAGCGAAATATGCGAGGTCCAGAATGAATATGAGAGACTTTGAGAGACCCCGATTCATCATCCCCCGATCCGACAACCGAAAAGTCGCTTGTTGGGGCGAAGGGATGTTGCTTGGCCTGCAGGCGCACGGAGATAACACGGAGGTCCTCCGTGCACACGCAGAAGTCACCACCCAGTCTGATAGCAGCTCGACACGAAAGAACGTGCGCATCAAATGAGAGATTGCACCCCGTTCTATTGGAAGGGAGTCCTGGTCAACATGAAAACCGTAAAACCGTGAGCACGATTGATCAGCAGACAGGCATGGATTGCGCAAGTTCTAGTTGCTGAGGAAGCAGGTATTGTAGACAATGGACAGGCATCTGACAGCCTGTCCAAAGCTGCAGCACCCGAGTCCTGCTGGTAAGCATCGAAGCACAGCTGAATCCTTGCAAAGCTTCAAATCGGCAGCATATGAAGCAACGACAGTGCACTTCGCTTCCAGCTTGTGGTCGCCAGGAAACTCAGGTGATGGCCCCCATGAGGGCAGGCGTATTGTCAGGTCCGCGTCAAAGGGACACGACCTTCCAAAGTGCTTTCTACGCAGCATCCTCGCAAACAGTACGTGGAAGCGGAAAACTAGCGAAGCACGCTGCTGACTGAAGCCGAGCAGCTCGTGAAAGCTGAACTCTGCATGGTCCAGACCTGCTCGCAAGTCTCGTGTGAGTAGAACTGTAGACCTCTTCTGCACGTCCCACGACTGCTGCATGCCGGTCTAACTGCCGCCTCTGCCTCTCTGCGCAGCTACGTACATGATGCATCGACATGTCTGACAAGCAAAAACATCCAAGGACATATCTCCTCTTCAACCCACTGATTTCCCATGAACTTATAGGGAACCCCGAATGAGCTTATGGTACCTCCTGCAGAGCAGCGGCAGTGTCAGCACAACTTTTAGGAAGCTCGAGTAATCAGAAGAATGACAGGGATTCAGCAACTGTTCTCACTGAGGAAAGAACTTCCCGTTTTCTGGATGATGGCCAAGGCTTCGTTGACACCCATGCCTGCGAAAACACAGGACCTCCAAACCCAACAGCTCAAGTTGACAGTTTCCAGGCTACGCTTGCCTACGTGGTTAAATGCTCGGGCTCGTGCCCAGGGAGAAGGCTCCAACACGATGTGCAGGTTCCACGCACCACGGCATCTTCCTCCAAGAACCTCCGGGGGTCAATCCGTTCCAAATATGTAAGTAGACGATCCCCTCACAATCAATCTTGCGAGAGGATGAGGGATGAGGCACTGGCTAGCACCCAAGATCCTAAGCTTAAGTGTCTTTATGATCCAGGGCGACAGCGAATCTGAGGGAGTAGAATCAGGATGACAGAAACATGACGTTTCCCTCTTCCTGTACGGACGCGCATGTTCGGCAGTCACTGTGTAAGTTCTAAATGTCTAAAGCCCTCCCAGAACCGTTCTGAACCAGCCTGGCAGCATGGCTCTGTGGCTCTGCGAAAAGCCAGCAAGGCGGCGTTGGCATCATCAGATTCGTTCAATACATCCACTAGTACACCCCCAAGTTCAGGGTTTGAAGCGTATGCGTTCGCAAGGTTTGAATGTACGACTTCTCTCAATGCGTACAGGGTCGGGTTCTCAGACGTCTTCTGCGGACGGCTACTCCTGGACTTCCTCAAGACAGACATGAGCGCTGGAGAAGTCGAAAACCTGACATTTCGGACATCAGAGACTCTGACTCAGTTCTCTACTGCCTTGTGGCTAGCGGCTATCGGCCACCTGACAGGGAATACTTCTTTGACTCCTCGATTGCAGTGTTGGCCCTGGTCATTCTGTACATTGGCATCCGCAATCACAGGAAGTGAAACCGTTCAAAGCATCGCGGCCAGAGAAACACCTCGAGAGCGCGGCGTGTCATGTATTTGCTGGTTCTGAGGAGGGACTGAGGGAATGAGGGCCCCTACATACTCCCTTAAAGGGTATATGTAGGACCCTCATTCCCCCATTCCCACGATGAGCCCAAGGACTTCTAGGAGCAGGACCAGCGCGCAAGAGCATCCAACCCAGCCCAAGAGTATCACCTAACGCTGCCAGGTGGACCGCAGTCACATTACGGGTGAATTTCAAGCCGTTCCGGCGATCTCCAAGCAGTGGAAGCTTTTTTTGAGCAGAGAACTCGAGCTGGCAAGACGAGAAAGGCAACCGCTTTCGGAACCCGAGTGAGTACTACCGGGGAACCGTCTTGCCTAAGCCAAGTCTGAATGGATGATGGCAGCCATGCTTCTTCATGGCGCGCGATAGGACAAGGCATGGAGGATGCAACTGCACCCGCCATGCCCAAAAGAACTTGAAGACTGTACAAGATTAGCAGCACCACCTCGTCCGTGCACCCGAAACCCCTTCGGGGATCGGGCCGCATCTGAAATCTGGGCCGATGTGAGCCGGCCTAAGTGTAGCGCCGCTTGTAGAACAGGGCATACTCGACGTAGACCTGTGAGAAGACAACAACTCAAATAAGTCAGAGCTCGCCAAGGGCAGTGAAAACGATAAACAGCTACTCGGTACAGCGCCACGACTAATGAGTTTCAATCTTCTTGCTTCGCTTCTTAAGACTGCCTGCCTGGTCGGCATCAAAGATTACAAACTCCTGTCAAAACGATTGACGCAAGGAGTAAAGATCAGAGCGAGGCAAGTCTCAAACACTCCTGTCTCGGACCGGGTGTCCTTGAAAGTGTTGCGGCATTTCTCGCGGTCACCAAGGATGCTGTGGTATTCACCAGAGATGCAGCTGCTCTGCAACCTCAGCAGACAGCATCACACAGGACTCAGACCATGCCACCTGAGAAAGCTTTGGCGCTCACTTGTCGGCATCGGGGGTGACCTGTGCTTGCAGGACAGTGAGCTTCAGGGCATGCCCGCTCTCGGCAAATCGGGCCTCATCGTTGTACAAAACAGTTCCTGCAGCAATTCTGCCTCGGCAGCTAGGCAGCCACGAATGCTCGGGCACTGAGGCCCGAAGACCCAGAGGGCTTTTTTCGGGACCGCGTAAATCGGAGGAAGCTTCGAGGATGAGGTCCGCCGATACCTCTCCTATGCCATGTAGGATACCGGATACCGGCTGTCGTCGATCAAATTCGTTGAAAGGAAAGAAGCTTTGGCTTCATCCAGATTGCCTCATCAGAAGTTGAGAGTTATTTCGAGCAGTCTAAGCCACCCACACACCAGCACGCAGCAAAGACCGTCATCATCAGGCTTCGCGTACTCATCAGCCTGGGACGACACAAGAAACGGGCGGAAAAGGACTGCCTGGCGGCATGTTTTGCACATTGCCTTCGTGATGGACTCTGCAAAGTACGTCCCTCTGCCTGGGGCAGCTTTAAGTGCCGCAGAACGCACACCACTGAGGCTACAGAGAGCGAGCGGTCGAGTCTGGTACCGTAGAGCGTGCCAGTTGCCTGCAACGCACGAGACCGGAAATTCTGCAACGCCGTGGTACACTTGGCAGCGCCACCTACAAGCGAAGCTCAACGTGAGAGCGGCTTGCAAGAGTCCTGAGGCCCTCACCGACCCCGCCAAGCTGATGGTGAAGTCGCCAGCTGAAGGCAAAGAAGCTGTGCTTTCCACATGCAAAAACTGCAAACACGTGCAAGCACCGATACTCCCGAAAGTTCCAAAACACATCGCCAGGTGCACATCCCGAGAGGATCGATTTTGCGGCTTCTGGGCTGGTTCCGTGGAAGAGAAACCACCTCAGGGCGAGCAAAGGGAGAGCGAAGGGAGAGCAAAGGGAGACCAAAGGAACGTGAAGGGACTGGCCAGGGTCCCTGCTCATTGCAGTAGCGTCGGAGGTTCTGTCTCTTGCATAGCTTCTTGGCCTGCACTACCCGGGGTATTGCAATCCGTGTAATGCGCGGGTACCCACATGTAAGTGAACGCCTGGCTGGTCAGGACCGGTCTTGACATGAAGCTCGTCTTCTGGCCTTTCGTGTCAGCAGAATTGTATTGTTTAGGTTATTGCAATTTACACACGAATTGTTTGTAGCGCTGTAAGGCCGAGGCTGCAAGCGTGAGCGATCCTTGGCAAAACACTTGACGAAAGAAAGTCCCCAAGAGGCCCTGGAACTCTGCAGAAAATCTGCAGAACCTTGAACACCAAAATATCGCAACATACGAGCCTTATTTCCCAGCCCGAAGCTCGGAGTCTTGTGTGACAATGATGCTGAGTTCCAGGCTGGTGCCTACGAAAATAGTACCGCTTCCTCGGTCTTCGAGATCTCTTGAGCCCCTGAACTCAGACCCTACCGTAGCCCTATCAACCTCATTGCAAATGAGCCCACCTCAAGACACTCCTGAGTGGGTTAAGAGATTGAGAGCCTCACCAGTCTTTGAAATTCTCACAGCGCGTGGCCTGTCTCATTCGGAAAACTGATCCTTTGAAGCTTCTCTCAGGCTTCCGGTGGTGGGCGCCTTGACCAGCTCATAGCCTGCTGGCACTTTGTCAATACCGGTCTTCTTTCGATCTCGCGTGTAGACCTTCTTGTAGGTCCTTCCGCGGCTATGCAGCAATTTCATGGTCATGAGCCAACACTGCTGGAGGAGAGTCAGAATCGAGCACGTCTGCCACGCTGCGGCTTCGGCCAAGGCCAACGTGCAGCGACTTTTTTCAGGAGATCTCGGGGCCCGGCTTCTGCAGTAGCTCATCCAGCTCAACAAACTGATTGCTGTCCGTGATGCTGTACTGCCTTGAGCCAAACCCACTCCACACCAAACCACGAGAACACGTGCTCTCTAAGTTCTACAAAGGCCCGGGCTTTACCCAGTCGGGCTTGTCATGAGGTCCCTCCCTGCAGATGCGCAGAGCAACTCGGGGCGCGGGGCGACTCGGGGCCATTCAGGGCTCTACTTGGAGTCTCTGAGTTCTCGTCCACAGGGGTGGAAAGGAGATGCCCCCTTCGTCACCACCCATGCCTGGACATGCAGCACCGTTGCGCAAGACCTGCCTGTGGCAAAGGCTGCTTGCGTGGCCTAGCTCAAGCTCCACGTTGTTCGCCTGCAACGCGGACTCAGCATGTTCTCTGATGCAATACGCAATACACAGAAACGACAGCACAAAAGAAGCTTGATCGCATGTGAAAACTTCAAGTGCCCCAAAGGCCCCCCACATCCCCCCACACAAGGTGCACTCAGCCTCTGCCCATTCCACAAACTCAGGCCAGTTCACCTGGCCGTTGCCATCCTGAGTGTGAGCCCAGCATGCGCATCCCATGGCAACGCTCAAAGTAAGGCAGTCCTGGTCAAGGCTTTGCCAAACCTCACAGCTCAAGGACTGAAACTCGCAGAACACCTCACTTCCAAACCAGTCCGGCCTCATCTTCCGAGCCTTCCAGGCCGAGAAGCGCTGAGGCGACCTTGCAGACAGACGCCAACCCACTTGGCCGATTCCGGTCATGTCGACTCAACCTTTGCCAAGCTTGCCTCTGCGAAGAGGTGGTGGTCTGTGATGTAGCCCGTTTGTTTCGGATCCATGTACTGGAAAGCCTGAGGAGGTCGGGCTTTGGCCTGCCTTTGGACAGACTCTACACCTTCCTTCAGACTCAGCGCTCGGTTTTACACGATCCACGTTGCGCCATCACGTGAAATATTGTGAAAGACAATCTTCTGAATCGTGTGCCAATTGTGCGCCATGTCTGCTTCTACGTCCAAGCTCCTGGTGCAGCGACTCGAACCGCTTCTCCTGGCGAAAAGAGAGGTCCATGGCCATGTGGCACGAATCCTGCACCCAAGTCCTGCTTCTTTGCGACGGCTGGCGGAACCTGCACAGAAATCCTGGCCAAGCAAGCCCAGAGCATTTCAACACTCGACGCTGTCGAATGTCTGGGCAAGAAGCGGGGAGAAAAGCGGAGGCACGACCAAAAGAGGGAGTGCTCCTGAGAGCCATATCCCTTAAGCTACCCCATGCTACTCCTTTCCCTAGAATCCTAGAACTTGCGGCTTTGGAGATGACACTTCAAAGAGCTGCTTTAAAAATGTGTGGCGAGGATTCGGATGGATTCGGACGCAGCTCAATCTTGGCGAACGGAAGCATGCAGGCAAGACTTGTCACCGGGCCCATACCCTTCGGGCACCACAGCCTCCGCACATCACGCTGTCTGCATGTTCACAAGTTCGTGCGTGCCTTGGACATGAGATGTTGACTCCACAGCGCCTGAACCCAGCGTCCATCAGGGCTCTTGAACTTGAGCTGAGCTCCTGCAACACCGCCTTCTGGGATTATCACCTTGGCCCAAACATCTAAGGACTGCTTGGCCTCAACTTGCTCATGCTTGCACTTCAGGTCAACTGATGTACTTCTTCAGTTCGAAGCTATCTCAGGCCCAACAGGCTCAAGCGACCCAAGTGGCGAAGCTGCAACTCTCTGCAAGCTACCACGATCCCCTTGTGAATATTGTTTTGGGGTCAGGCGTCACTCTATGCTGAGCCGGCCTTGCGTTTAAAGTCTAGACCGTGCGCAGCCTAACTCTATGTGCTCCCTCCTACACGCAACCCTGAGCGATCCTGAACGGTCAGACCTAATTGGACCTACATCTGGTTTGTGCCCACTGCTTGCAGAGTTGCTTCGATCTGCTGCGCTTCCTCGAGTGAGGCACCGGATCAGAAACAAACCAGAACTCCGGAGCACCAACAAACACTGAAGTCTACGGCTGGCTGCTGCTGCTTCAGCTTCAACAGCGGTCGTGAAGCAAGCTACCAGAAAAATCCTGACCCTCATGCGCCTCGGGATCCCCACGCCACCTGACACGAAGGCACCAATGACAAGACAAGCTGTCGTGGTTGCTCCAGAGCGGTGAAGCAGGACGGTGGTACTCGTACTCTTCCGCTTTGGAATCCACGCACCCCATTGCGAGTGGTCTACGCACTAGCAAGCAACAGTTACTTGACCACACCAGCAGGCAACGCAGGGTCAACACAGCATGTCGTATGAAGTGAAGCTGTAGAAGCATCTCATGATCTAATGTCAAGATGTCTGCTCGGACAAGTCAAAGCCGCTGAGAACACAAAGCAAGGAGGCAGGTCTGGTCAGGTCCACGTGCAACGTGAAATCAACGCACTACCACGTGTTGATCCCGAGACCATCTGAGACCAGCACACCCATGCTTAGGAGCTCCGGGCCCGCACCTGCTGTCAAAATTCGAGTCCTTTGCAAGTCTGGAAATCGACGATCATGCTACTAGGGTCCACGCGATCTCGCTGCCTCCGAGGTATAGTCACATTCACAGTTTGAATGCGGTCCTCAAAGTTGATGAACTCATGCAGTCATGAGTTCTACAATGCTCCCAGTTGCTTGAGAAATTCTGAATACTCATCGCGCAGCTCCCAGAGCTCCCACAAGACACATTTTTCATCTTCGCCAGCTTCTGTGGCTTTGCGGACTCGCCGCGTAGCCGCGCGCCCTGCACCTCAGCAACAGCAACGAGCTTGGCATCATCTCATTTTGCCTCTCGAGTTCTCATGTCACTCGATGCAAACTCCGAGGCACGTCAGCGCATTTCCTGGACCTGCCAGGCATTATTTTCTTCTTAGGTGGGGCAAAAGCCTTCTTTTCTTTGGTGAGGCAGGCTAGCTGTATGCCAGGGCACATGGGTTCAGGCCTGCACTGCCTACACTCCAAACCTCTGCTGCGGGGATGTTGGGCTTTCCAGCCCATAGACCCTTGTAGTTGTCCCAGCCAACATCTCCAGGCTTAGGGCACGGAACCAGTCGGCGAAGGGGCTTTCTGCTCAAACGCCTCAACATGTATCTACTTTACGCCCAAGGGCTTCGCAACCAACATCTCCTTTCAGGGTTTAGGGCTCTTTCTCCAATATCTCGGTCTGCGGCTTTCAAGGCCAACATCTCACATCTGGGTGGCTGTCAAAAATATAATCCCTTTTGGGGTACACTAAATATGAGGATATCATACTAGGGATCCGAAAAGGGACCCATCTGATTTTGGGTATAGGGATCACCACTCCCCATCTCCTTGTTGGTTTAGGTTTTCTCAGCCATGATCTCATTTTGGATGTCTCCGCCAACATCTTTGGGATTGCTGTGCCAATGCCTAGTTTCAAGGGTCCGCGCATCTCAGGCGTTTCTCGGTTTCAGATAATGGGCTTCTCAGCCGAAATCTCCTTTCATGATCAAAACGATTTCTGCTCTGGGAAGGGGGGTGGTGGAGAACGCCCCAATAACAGTTCGCAAGGCCCCAGCATGCCCCAGTCACTGCCAGCCTAGGCCACGTGAGTAGCTCTCGGCCGCCCGCTGCGCCCAAATGGAAGCTGCCTTGGCGTCTCCTTGCCTCGCACAGGCTGCACAAGCGTCGAGGGCCGCGCGCCCTGAGCAGCAGAACAATGCATGTACGAGTGCCTGAGGACTTCAGAGGGCATCAGCAACCAGAAAGCAGCGAAGCAAAGCGTGGCAAAAAAGTAGGATTTTCAGCTGCCTCGTAGTGCGTGAAGATGCAGTCCCTCCTCATCATAGAGCTGCAACAGGCGCTGCACCAACCTCAAGAGAACTGCAAAGCTGCTTCTCTTACAGACATAAGGCGGTGAATCAAAACCCCACGATCGGCGTCCCGCCCCTCTGTTACGCCCACATGTCGCGCCGGGGTCCATCTTGGAGACGAAGGAAGATCTGGTCGTGCCTTTGCTTTGATCCTGCCCTTGCAGTGCCTTGCAGGGTCTCACCGGAGTCAGGCCCTGGAAGTTTCCTAAACTTACGCACTGTACGCCCAGTCAGAGCCCGAAGCTCAGGAGTAAGTAGTTGGGCCATTGGCTATGACTCGTTCGTGGCTTGTCGCAGGTTTGTCGCCGTATGTCCCTGTATGTCCCTGAGCATGTCGCGGAACAGCTGCCCACAACTTCCCGCTGCAAACATGACATAGTTCCAAGCAGGGGCTTCGTTGCATACCCCATGTCGCAAAAGAGTGGGTTGAGCGATGAGGGCTTGAAAAAGAAATCAACAGAACGAGCAGCTCCAGAACTTCTTCCGGCGAGGCCCCTCCAATCTCGTCATCGATGCGGGCCATGATCTGCCTGCGGATAGTGCGGGTACCCTCTTTCCTCAGCCTTCCTCAGCGTCAAGCCACCGGGGCCTCCGCCTGTCGCCCTCGTCATCTCCTTGCTGACACGCCGGGCAAGTACACTGGAAGCCGTACTTGCGACCTCAGCAATGGAAGCCACACTCCTTCATGTCTCAATGCCAACCTTCTGAGCACGGCACTCAGCAAGGCTTGCCGCTCTTGGCGGCTTTGGCGGATGTCAATGTAGTCAATGCTCAGCTCATCACCTGATCCGAGCCCTTTCTGAGACCACTGAGACCACCCATGCAGATCCCGGCAGCATCTGCAGAGTCTGAGGGCCGAGCCGACGGAAATCTCTGTCGAGGCCAGGATGCGCATTACTTCTGCATCGCTGTCCCAGACATGCTGGCCTTTCAGGTGCGACTGCGTTGTGATGCCTTGTGATGCGTTGTCGTGCGTTGTCATGTCATCTTGCTTGACTGCAGCGGAGGTGCAGTTGGGAACACAAGAGTGGTTGAAGCGAGCCAAAGTAGGGCACAGGACCCGGTCGGCAGACCCCAGACCTTTCTCGAAGCTGTTTGTGTCAAGAATGCCCTGCACCGTCTTCTCCTGGGCAAAGGCGCTGCTCTGTTTTTGCACTGTCGCTCGATTCAATCACAAGCATCATTTACTTCCCTGCATCGTGGTGTAAGTGGGTGACTAGCCTTGGCACAGAGCTCGATTTCCAGTGGGATGTAAAGATTCTGCCACATCCTGGGGTTCAGCCATGGCTCGGCCGAAAAATCACTGAGCTCCAGCAGCTGGTGCCGCGCCCCTGAAGAGAGAGTCCTCGGGCTTCATGACATCATGTCCAATGGCAAATATCGGATGTCGCATCTAGCCGAGATAAGCTGAGATAAACTGAGCAGCTGGAGCTGTTGCTCAGGCACCGCGTCCGCGGAGAGCTGCAGCCTAGCAGTTGTGCACGTCGCAGTGAGTCGCCCTCGGCGCCCCGCATGGGCGAAGCGCCGAAACCAAACCGCCCGAAACCGCCCGAACCGCCCGAATCGCCCGAACTCGTTCCCAAGAATTCAGGCCGAGCCGCAGGGGCGCCTCCTCGCCGACCAGGTCCCCGGGCTCGAAGCTGCAGAGGGCAACAGCGCCGAGGCCTCAGATTTCGCATCACTTACAGGGGCAAATCACCATAAGCTCTCCTGACACGGAAAAGTTGGGAGCTTCGTCCGACTACTTGCGAGAAAACAGCAGCGACATGCCACTCCATGTATGCTACCTTCAGACTTTGGGAGCTCATGATAGCTCAAGCCCCAGCTGCGGGGAACTGATTTCGACAAGCGCTGCTCGCAAGGCACCATGGGCCCGGAATGTCAAGCGGCCTTTCCCATGCAAGGCCACGATTTTGAACTTGCCTGGCGCTTGGGGACAACATGAACCGCGTCTGAAGCCCGGGCGCAATGAAACGTAACGAAGCTGAAGCAAATCTGAGTAAATCTGAAGCAAGCTACCGACCTTTGCTCTCCAATCCCTCCTGGGGACTCTCGGCAGCTTTGCACCCACCTAGCAAGGAAAGGGTTCTACGCCATGTTCCAGCCATAACTGTCAAACCGCGGCGCTTGCAGAATCCGGGAACCACAACCCCATCCGCGATTAACTCCGGGGACCTTGACACCCATGGGGCTGCTTCTTTCAATTTCACGTGTTGTGCTCCGCCCGCCCCCCTTCTCTGTTTGTTTCTTTGCCTTTCGTCTTTGGCAAGAAGGGCCGCCTCTGCCGAGCTGCCTTTTGGCCTTTTGGCACGGTGGCACTGTGCCTGGTAAGCTATGCCAGCGATGCCCCGCATCCTGGGAAGGACCCCCCTTGATTGTTTAGGACACGTAACACCACCATTGCCATAAGGACAACCGGCCTTTAAGAAAAGGAGGAACAAGCATGATAAGGACTGATAAGGATGTCTTGGTCGCCGGGGAGGGGGGGGGGTACATGTGCAGTGACGCCACTACCGAGAAAAGCACAAGCTGCATCATCGACCAGAGGCACAAGACGTGAGAACTCCACAACATTCCATTCTCTCCGAGGAGTTTCTGCAGGAGCCCCTGATCCTCCTCTATCCAGTTTTTTTCTCCTCGAATGATGCCAACCATCCGCCCTTTGTAAGATGTCGGGTTCTGGAGGACAGAATCCCACGCTGGGAAGTGGGCTGCTCGGCACGTGACTGCTTTTTTGCAGTGTCAGTGCGAGAGCATCTGAGCCCATCTTGGGCCTTCGTTGCTCTTTTGGGGCTTCGCTATCTTTGGATTGGGCCGTTGAATACTCCTGTTGCTTATGGACCTCAAGGCTCAAGCACCCCATCTGGAGATCCTGCACGGATCATCGCTCCGAAGATCCAGCCATGGATCAACCATCACTTTGTGCACAGGTCGTTCTTTCGTTTGCCGCGTTTGCCCCGTTTGGCAGAGGTACAGCATGGCACAGCCTTCAAAAGCTGACAAAAGCCTCGCATGCCACCACTTCACCACTTCTGAGGGCAGCGCAGCAACACTCACTTCCCTACTTCTTTCGCTGCTCACCTGCTGAGACTGCCCGGAAACAGCCTTTTGAAGCCTGCACCTGCGACCCCAAGCCCTAGAAGCCTCTGCATGCCGGGCGAGGCGGTCGACGCACAGCGTGTTAAAGTGTTAAAGTAGTACTCCAGTGTGTTGCCGAGAGTCGCTGCCAATCGGCTCAGACCGCCCTTGAGCCAACAGCGCGCATAGCACCACCTGAGCATGGTGGGACACCGGGACACCCACTTTGGCCAGCAGTCCAACCATACCGGCTAATCAAGATGACGTGGGATTGGGGGTTGTCGCTGAGGCACCACGGCGGGAAGCAAAAACGTCTCAGGTGATGAGGTCGGCAGAGCTCTCTGTGGAAGCTTGCGCTGTCCTTCACTGTTCTGGAAACCCCTGTGGTGAGCTGTGGTGAGCTGTGGTGACTGGAGTCTACCTGCAACAGTTGGCTTGCAGAAGCCTCCAGAGGAAGCGCTCACTGTGGCCCAGCAGCGCCCTGGCCACATCGATCCAGCCTAAATGTGGCACATTGGCACATCATGCGCTCAGTCGCCCATCATTCTAAATGAAGTGGCGAAGCCATGTGCTTCCAATCTTGCTTGGGAGTTGAGGGACCCTTCCTCTCATGTCTGCTGGCCATACCGTGTTTCGTCCAGGCAACAGGAGGCAGGCGGCCAACAAAGAGCATAACAGCGGCCATCCCAAGCGCCGGGTTTGGATTGCCAAGCGGTGTGTAACACTGGATCCAACGTGATCATTGCAAACACCCCGACAACCTTGAAAGCTCCATTAATAGGAAACCGTCGGACTTGCTGTGCCGTCTTTCTCCGGCGAACGGCAGCACATAGTACAAGTACATACAAGCGACAAGTACTGCACTAGCATGGTTCTTGTCGCCCCTGCTCTTGCCCAAACCGGGCTTAAGTTTGCAAAAGCTTGAAGATGGCGCGAGCGAATGGCTAACGAGTCCAGAATCCTCCAGGCATATGATACGTGCTCAAAGCTCCAGCCGGCTCCTCAAGCTGGAGAATCATGCGTTGCCTGAGAACTGGCTCTGCGCACAGCACCACGAAGGAACTGTCGGAGCCCTCCTGAGGTCCTGAGGCCCTGTCGTTTCTGCAAGCCGTCTGTGCAGGGAGCTGGACTGGCGACGTAGATCTCGGGCCTCCAGGGTGACATAGGATAACTCTGTTTCAGAATGCCCTCGGAATGGTTTTGCCAGCTTGCCAGACTCTGGCAGGTTTGGATGGTTTGGCTGGTTTGGCATACCATGCCCATCGAGATCATCATATGTCGACATCGTGCCTCGAACTCTTCAGAGTGCACTGCTGGTTGGCAGCCACGCATGTTGCGCAGGCAGACCTGGTACCTGACTTTCAACTTCCTAGAATGCCACAACTAAGTTGAGAAAGTGAATGCATGAGCCATGAGATGGCATCATCGCCACAAGCCAGACAAGTGCATCGTTCTTGATGGTCACCAACTTCTTGCCAGCTGCGAAAGCAGGAGAACACAAAGTAGCACCTGCACAAAGCGCCATGGCGCTGTCGAATTGCTGCCGACAGGGCTGTTTGGCTTGTACTGCACATCTGTCGGCCCGTTGTCTTCTTGCTTGCGCCACTCGCATTCGGAAGTTAAAATACCATGAAAATAGCTCCCTGCCTGCAGGAGGCTCGTCCTTTGGCCTTCCGAGGATGGCGCCACCTGAAACATGTAACAAAAACCATGCGATGCCATGCGATCCCCGCCAAACAGCTGACGTCCCCACGCCGGTGCCGAAGCCCCAGAAGAGGGCAGCCCAAAGGCCTCCAACGGCTCTTGCTGTGAAACCAAGGACTTCATGAGCATAAGGAAAGCCAGCAGCGCCCGTGACAAGGAGACTGGGGAGACTCAGGCGGTCCTGCACGGAAGGACGCAAACATGTGGCACTGATTCGCTTAGCTTGCCAGACTTGCCAGAGTTCTCTCGCACACCTTGGAACTTCTGGTCTGCTTCTCAACCTGCACAGGGATTCGAACGCCCCGGACCATCCCCAACTCCAACCGTTGTATCCCCCGACTTCCCCACCTCCTCGAGCCGAACATGGAGGGCCTCCAAGTGCGACAAGAGATGAGCCTTCGAGATGTCGTCTGCAGTTGCTGCGCAGCGCAGCAAGTTAGAGTTCGTCTGTGTCACGCCAAGGGCTTGGTGCTTTGATGTGCAATCACCCTCTTTGCACTCTAAGCTGGCTGCCTCACGTGACACCAACAGCTCTCCGCATCGGCGCAGCACGAATCCTGGCTTCAAGCATTCCCCCAGACCCACGGTACCCTAGGTGGCTGTATGAACTCTGACGCAGCTAACTTGCAGCCCAGGCACGCTGGCGAGCTCCCACAACATTTCGAAGGTCCTGGATGTCACAAGGGAGGCAATCTGTTCTTGTCTTCTGGCGTACCCACCAGTCATTACTTGCCGGTTCGTCCAGCACTCTTCGCACGTTCCCCCGTAAACATTTTTTCTGCGCAATGCGTTGGAGAGTTGTCAGTTGGCTTAGGAAGCCAGACCCTGTGAAAAACGTTCGCCCCAATATGAGCCCGGTGCAGCCTACTCTGTGAATTTGGGATCAGCACTCTTGCATATGCAAGTACTTCTGGAGGACGTTACACTACGATGCACTTCAACGGTCTCTCAGTCTCAGAGTCTCTGCGCAACGGGCTGGGCACCACGATGGCCATTGAACTGTGGCAAGCCCGCCATCGTCAAAAGTTTGCCGACGGAAAAGTGCCGAAAGCAATACATGGTTCTGCCAAAATGTTTTTGTTAAGAATGACCTGGGTTACACTTCTTCACTTCTTCCATCAGCCCAAGCTGACAAAGAAAGCCATCAATGAAATCAAGGTGCGGCGGAGACCCGCGCCCAAGACCCTCTCCCTTACATACTCTGGCAATGATTTCAGAAAGGCCTTGCCAGAGCTGCCAGGGAGCACCTCTCCAGTTGAAATGCGAAATCTGCTGTCATGCAGGGCCCGGGGAGAACTCTGGAATACAGATTGATCCCAAAGCTTATGACCACCTACCGTCAACTCCCGAGATCGCACGCTCCCCTGACCCTCCCACTTCTACGATTCTACTACTGCACTGAGCTTTCTTGCGGCCTCAGGCGACCAAGAGCTGACCGCCAACGAACAACACACAGACTCTTTCATGGCGCCATCGTTGGAAACCCTTCATCCAAAAAGCATCGCAGTCGCCCAGGCCAGCAGTCTAGGCACCTAGGACATAGGGACCTACGCTTTGCGAGCATTTTTCCACTGTGTCTCCCCCTGCTTCTTGCCGAAGAACCTTGGGCAGAAGCAACTCACACAAATTACAGTCAGAATGGAGAAGAACCCCGAGTGCAAAGTTGCAGCATGCAATCAGAATCATGGATGAAGCCAAGCTGCTTGAGAAACTCATTGTAGGTGTATGCCTTTCCATCTGGCGCTCGGCGTCTCTCAGTCTTTTGGGCCTGGGGGACACCAGGACCCACTTCAAAGCAGGGAAAGCTCGCAGACTTACCCCATGTTAAAGCCTCTCGAAACTTGGAAACATCCCCGACGGCCTGAGTGGAGGCGGCTGCTGCCTTCGATTTGGTAGACTCTGGTATTCTTTAATTTCCAACACAATTTGGGAGTCCCGGGGCGTTGTGAAAATGGAAATGATGGGAAAAACATATGGAAACATGTACCGATAGGCAGCGAGAGCCTTAGGGGCCGGGGCTGGTGGCTGCGGCACAGGCGGCACCTTCGCGCACAAGAGGTCATGTGCGGTCATGTTAGGTCATGTGAGGAGAGAGGGACTCGGATCTCTGCCGTTCTCTGGCATTCTCTTGGAGGGGCACAGGTTTGGTCACCTCCTGCTTGGGTCCTTCGCAAACGGCGACCTTGGTCTGCACTGGAAGGGTATGGAACGACAATTGCGAAGCTCGGATACAACAGCACGCAAAATGGCATGCAAGATGACATGCAAGATGGTAGATCACAGGAACACAAGCAGCACGTCATGAGCACGGCATCTAGGTTGGGGGCCTCGGGTGCGCTACTCGGAGCGGGCGCCTGGAAAAGTGTCTTGCGGAAGGTTCAACAGCTGCCCCGACTGCACTCCCCCGTCATCTTTATGCGCGCCTGCGTGGACTTGGGCGCCTCCTTGGGCGCCTCCTTGGCCTGGGTGCCATCGGACGTGGTCACCTCCGTGTCTCTCCCTGCCCTCAATGTCAAACTGGAGCAGAGACCAATTGTAAGCGGAGCTTACTCTTTGAAAACTCCTTGAAGACGCCCCACCTGAAAGGGCGCCGGCCTGCATCACACAGTCAAAACAGCACCGCGATGCACTCATTTCACACATTTCACTGATTTCACGGATTTCACTGATGTCACTCATTCCACTCATTTCACTCATTTCACTCATTTCACTCATTTCACTCATTTCACTCATTTCACTCATCTCACTTATTTCCCTCATTTCACTTCACTCATTTCACCTCGCACCAAGCCGAAGTCGCCAACAGCCACTACCACGAACACAAACTGGTTTCCTTGTGGCCCCGCCCATCCTTGGGGCACCTTTTCCAGGGTTGGCATGGCTCTGGGAGCCGACCGAAGGGGTTTCCTTTTTGATGGAAGCTACCTTCAACTTCATGGATCGGGGGAGGCCTTCCGAGCCTTTCCTCTCGTGTGGCGCGGGCAAGTCCTACGCCGTTGACGATGCCGGATGCCGTCGTTTGTATCGGCATCAGAGCTCTAAGAATGAATATGAAAGGAAACTCTCAAAAGACCCTCCCTAATTTCAAGTCAAGCCAGAGAGAGAGAGAGAGAGAGAAAAAAAAAAAAAAACTCTGATAACTTGAAGACTCTCGAAACGTCAAATATTTGTGAAACTCATCCCTCGTCCTATTGCTCTCCCAACACAAGGCGGTAATCAAGGCACGCCCCAACATGTTTAGAAACAGTGCACAACGCATCCACCAAAGTGCAGTACAGGCTTAGCCCTTGCGGCGCCTGGAAAGGGAAGCCTGCGCAAACTTTGCTTCGGGCTTTGCCTCAGGCTTTGCCTCAGCCTGGTCCGGAAAGGTGCTCAATTGCATGACGGCGGCCCCTTTATAGAACATGCTCTTCGAAGTTTTCGCTGCATCGGTTCTAAGTTGCCACTGCTGATACGAATCCAGAAGCAACGCTGACTCAACGCTCCGCTCGAGCAGAAACTTCAAAGACATGCGCTGGCTCATCTGCTCTCCACATCTCTCAGAAGACATTCAGCTGCAAAAAGCCCCAAAAAGCCCTGTTTACAACTAGCCGTTCTGGGGACCGAGGAGGCCATTCTTCGAGGAATCTCGGGCCTTGACCCTCTGATAATCTCCGCAACACCCTTTCTCAGGGTCGAAGTCCCGGTCTTCTCGCATTTTACACCGATTTCTCACACGTCTTCTCACCTCCCCACAGCACTCCACGGCACTTTGAGGTCGGATTTCTAGACGCCCCTTTTTGAAATGGAGGGCTCTGCACCCCGGCACTGTAAGCCCTGCTCAACTGCTGCTCTCATACTGTGTTGGCTCGAACTCCGCTGTCCAATTTCTTCTGTTGGATGCCTCTTGTGAGGAAAATATTGTGTGGCAGAAAGGGGGCAGAAAACAGAGACAGCGCAGAGACAAAGCGACAGCGAGGCTGCGCTCCTGGTCGGTGTTGAGGGGCTGTGCCTCACAGGCTTTGGGCTTCGACTGCTTGGGTTCTTGGCATGCAGTATGTTGACACCTCCTCCTGCTTCTTGCCGCGGCTGCAGAAGGTGCCAATGCCCTTCAAGCAATTCGACATGTTCCTTAGCACAGGTGCGGCTTGTCAGCTTGTCCATCTAGGGGAATCTAGCATCCGGCAGAGCATCATGACTAAGAACTCTCAGCAAAGCACCCGCACGAATCAGCGACGAGAATGAGTGCCAAAGCCGGCGATTCTCTAGCGTGCGATGCTTGACTGTTGCCAGGCTATTGCAGTTGCATGTTCAACTTGCAACAATTGGGTTTGATGGCTGCAGGTAGCCTCCGTGTTTCAAACTATCGCCACGAGATCTGCAGCTGTTGAGAGCCACAAAGCATGTGAACCAAGTGAACGCCTGAAGCAGAACGCACACAAATCGAAGCTAACATGAAGAAGCTTCGACAGACAGTTCCTATGTCATCATGTGTCACCATACAGTCCTTTCTACAAAATAGGGGTACCCTCAAGCTACCCCAAAGTACTCTTATGCCTTACAAGAGGAACCGCCACAGAGGCCTTTTAATACCAGCCTAAACCCTGCAGCCTAAACCCCCGTTATCGGAAACCCCTATATTAGGATGAATTGGGAACGCCCTGAACCCTAAACCCCCCAAAAAGGGCACCCCCGAACTAAGCCCATGTTGGGATTAAAACCCAAAACCCTAGATTTTTGTCACACCCCGAAGTCTACCAGTCTACCGAGGACGTGGTCTCAGGCGGGTCCTCCCAGGCGCAAAGCTCCGTTGGAGCAAAGGAGCCCAGCGCGACTCCGCAGTAGAGCGGCCTTCATTGGTTTAGGGTTTGGAGGGTTTAGGGCTTAGGATTTAGGGTTGAGGGTTTAGGGTTGAGGGGTGGTGCGCGCTCGACAGGACCAAAAAGAGGGGGCTTTGAGGGCTTTGAGGGTTTTAAGAGGGTTTCTAAGGGCTTTTCGGGTTTAAGGGCCTTAAGGGTTGGGCTTATGGGCCTTGAAGGGCTTATGGGGTTTGAAGGGTTTGAAGGGTCCATAGAGTTATAATTGGTTTATAGGGTGCAACAGAGAAGCATTGCGATCATGCCGCGCGTCCTTTTGCTGGCTCTGGTGCGGTCTTAAGCGCGAAAACTTGGCAAACGCCGAGGCAAGGCCATGTCTCTTTCAAAAGAGAGTGCCCTGGAAGAGCCCTGCGCGTGGCCGGTGCACAGCGCTGCGGGTGCAAAGCTGGTGAACTCCGCGAGGTGCAAGCTGGGGGTGCACTCTGCACATCCACTTTGCTCCTCGACTACTGGACCCGAATGGACCTCAGTCCTGCTTCTGGGAGCTGGAACCTTCGCGGGGCAAAGGCAGAATGAATGAAATTCACCTGATGAAAGCAAACCTGGGCAAGTCTAAGCCCGGAAGAAGCAAGGCCAGCCGGACTAACCGCCGACCGGGAGCTCACGTAACCAACAAGCTCCTTCGTGCCGATCTCACGGATGCCCTTGAAAGACGTGTCCTCCAAGCTGAACAGAAAACCGGGCTGTTGCCGAGAAACCTACTGTGAAGGTATACACGTGATAATGGTGGCATGATGTGGCATGCACATAAGTTCGAGAAATGACAGCGGCCCTGAGAACCAGACCTGCACAAGATCTGCCGCGGCCATGGCAATCTCCTGCCAAGACAAGGCTCTGCTCCAACTTACAGCTGCAAAGTGCGCATCTGAAATCCGAAAGGCACACCGTAATCTTGGTGGATCAGGCTAGTATGCTTGGCGCTGCAAGGTGTAGTTGCACACCGGGTTGTGCCGACGGCACAATCTACAGTAGATCGACGCGACAAACCCAACCCTCAGACCAACACGAGACAGGCCTTACATCCATGCTTCACAAGGCCCGACTGTTAAACGCTACACTAAACTTCACTAAACATCCTAGTCATCGTGCCTCCACACGCACGGGCGGTCGCAACACGCCTCCGGGTGCCCAGAAAACAGGTCTTCGGCCGAGAATGTAAACATTGACAGAGAGAACGTCCAGATCTTTTGCCTCCAAACAGGCTGGGGAACCATCTCTCGATGGCCTCACAGGGCCTGACACTTGCACGGGCACAAGAAAAGGAGCTTCACGTTGATCCATGCCTTTCGGGGCTGTTGGATCTGAACAAATCAAGCTCGGAGGGAATGACACGAACTTGCCAAAGCAGTCAGTCGCGCCCTAGGACATGAACTCGTGTGTGGTGATGTCGCGCAGAGATGCCAGCGACTTGGCATGAGTGTACTCAGAGCATCCCGGAACCTATCTCAATCATATTTCCGCTTGGTGAGGACAAGCTCACAACGTCTTCAGAAACAAGGATGAAGAAGTACGTGAAGGTAGGGTGAAAATTCTAGCTCGTCCGGAAATCGGCTGCCCCAATGCTACTGCATGCTGCTTCGAAACATTACTATGAGAGCTGCAGCAAAGGTGTGCAATTGTGGAACACGATTGGCAAGTCTAGGTGGCATCGCCAGCGAAGTGTCCTGAGGCTGGGAGGGGCAGTGTGCTCAGAGCTCTGCTAAGGCATCCGCCCTGACAAGGCCGACATCACCAGCCGCATGGGTTCCAGCAGCAGCCAGAGCCTCGAAACAGAAAATGCGAAGGATTCATGCTCAGAAAATGAACCCAGAACACGTAAAATAGGACGCTAAAAGCACGCCCACGACGGGAGCCAAGGCCGCCACGGCACCTGAAAGCAACCCTCTTGGCGGGTGCCGGAGATGGCACCTGGCTTGATCACCTGCAGAGGAGCGATCTGAAACCTTCCCCTAATAGGCTTCAGAAGGCCTGAGAGGGCCTTGAACTTCTCTGAATGTCTAAGACTTGGCTGACGAGTGGGACCACAAAGTCACGTACTCAGCTTCGCGCGAGAACGCTGCAAGGTGACTCGCACTTGTCCTGTTGTCACATGATGAGCATCTCAGCGCCAAGAGCAGCAAGCAAGCATCTAGCATCATCTAGCTCTTCATACTCTTCAGTCTGCATGTGGCAGCATGAGGTTAAGCGCAGAGAGAATCTTTCTCTGAGGTACCAGCTGGGTAGCTCAAGGCTTCCCTCTCTGCAGCCAGTTTCCCTTCGCGGTATCCAGCCTTGCAAATAATTCTAAGAGCACCGTTTTGAGCTATCAGCAAACACAGCACAAAGACAGAAAGACAGACCCTGTTCCAGCTGAGCATCTATCACGGACCACGTCGGCATCGTGGCATTGACGAGTACTACACGAGGGACCTGCACGCGCCAAAGACTGGCATGCTGAAACTGCGAGTCGGAATGGAAATACGTGTTGGATGACGCTGCAGCCGCACAAACAGCTGTCGAGTGTCCATCCTTGTACTTTGCTGCTGTCTGCATGATGGTGATGTTCGTGGTTCCGTTTGACCTTCACAAGATGGCACGGCGTAGCACTTACGCGCACTTACTATTATTGGTGTTGCCACCACCCACTCCACCTCATCGCTCTCTCCTTGTCAGTCACCCAGGGCGGTTCGCCAACAGCTATCCTGGGCACCCAGATCGCAAATCTAACTCTTGTGATGCGTTCACAGCTTCTGCGAGTTTCTACATGAATGCCCCGTTCACCGCATGCAGCTGCTGCCCTGACTTGAGCACAATCCTTGCTTATCTCTCGTGCCAGGCATCACAACGGCCCGTGCATCTGGAAGAAGTCCCTCAAAAGTCTCGGGCTTCAAAGCATCTACACCACCCACTTCCTGCGAACAGGATGACCATGGAATCATAGAAAATGAAAGGCAAAGGAAATCAGCGGAACAATCTCAGGGCAAAGAAGCGCCAATTGCCAGCCTGGATAGCACCCTCGGACTGAGCTTTGGGTTGGGAGCGGCCCAGACTCAGTACCGGTGTCAGTCCTTCCCAAATCGAAGCTCGGGTCTGGAGCTCACTTTGGGATTTCATCTGGAGGCTTCTCACTCTCGGCACCCACTGCGAGTAAGCTTTGAATAAAGCGTCCCACACCGGCTCGCGCAAGCAGACCCAGCTTGTGCCCTTGCCTCGTCTGGCTAGCTCCTTGCAAACCGCCTGAATTCCAAACAGTGTCACAGTCACAGCTGCCGAAACGGCCCAGGAGTTGTGACTATCTTGGTCCCAGCCACGGCGCCCACAAAGCCACGGCCGCCGAAGACCAGCGTCCGTCCAGATGCCATCTGGTCATGGGCACAAGACTCGTTTGCAGAGCTCTGGGACTGGCATCCCCAAAAGGACACGCCCAAAATGTCCACTCACCAATACGCGTACACACTCACCAATACAAGCAATGTAGGCGCCAATTCAAACACCATGTGAACATCCACCTACACCGTCCGTTTATGCCGTCACATGCTACACGCGATTGAAACATACCACTACCCCAACGATAGTAAGGCAACCGGCTGCCACCTTGATACTGCCAAGCTCACAGCGCGGCTCGCAGCGATTCCAGCTGTCCTACAATACAAGGTCCTGTGGCCCGTTGCTGGATAATACTTACGGAGCGCTGTGCCTTGTGCAACATGTATAACTTTCAGCTTTTGAGCCGAAGGCCAAGATGCAATGCACAGCTTGGCTCTTGGCTTTCCAGCCCTCTTAGAACTGTCCATCCGTCGGGTAAGCCAAGCTTCTTGCTTGCTGCGGTTACTGGTCGTCTGCTCGAGCACCACCTCCTGTGCATGTCCACCAAAGGTTGTATCGGCCATCTGCAAGGCCGGAAGAGTCCCTCTTTCCATTCACTACCGTGGCGCTGATCCCGGCATATCCCGGTCCTCTGCAGGGACTGCATAAAGTGGTGAAGCGGCACGGCACCGCGCAACCACTGCCTCAAAGAAGCAGAGCAAAGGAGTGGAAAAGACGTAAAAACACAACGTAAGACTGGAGAAGAGGAACGGGATGGCATCTGCAACTTCAAGAGGGCCCGGCCAAGAGTCGATATGTCACCAAGGCGTACATGACCTGCTCAGCACGTGGCTCCTCGATGATCACCTTGCATCCGAATCACAGAGGGCCCGGCAATCAGCGCAGCCGTTTCCAGAGCAAAGATGGTGAAGCCCTCCTCCGTCAAAAGAACATGACTCTCGACAACATGAGTTGTGGCATCTGTCTTAGTGTCTACCTCAGCATGCCTCAGCTACTCTACCGGAGCCGGATGTTTACTCTCTTGCATTGCTACTTTTCTTTTGCTCGTCCTGGCGCAGGCTGCACCACAGGCGGAACTGTGGTTGCGCCGCCAGGGACAGCAGGAGCAGAAGCACGGTCTGGCACAAAGCGCCCAGTGCTGTGTGGCAGAGACTTGGGGGCTTCAAGCGTCGCCTGCACGTACACCGCGAACTTGCTGACCAAGCTGAGGAGTCTTGACATCTCAATGAGCACCAAATCCGACTGCCTCCACGGGATAAAATATACAGTCATGCCTCACAACTCAAAGTGATGCACCATGTTGCACATGTATTCATACTGCACAGTCTGCCTCGGAAGCCATGGCGAGCAGGAAACCACCAGCAGCGTCGAAGCCTGTGGACGGCGGCAGCAGATGACACTTCTAGCAACGTGGAGGCTAGAAAGCATCACTTGAGGCATGGACTATGCAGGGTGCAGCCGCCCAAGATGTAGCAGTGTTCGGGTTTTGGAGCAGGACCATCATCCTGGCAACGCATCGCAGCAATGGAATCCTAAATCGTTTGATCAAGGTTCAGCACTCCAGGTCTTCAAGTGGCTTCTTGACTTAAAGAGGCAGACGGCTCCTACCGCTGGCGTGCGTGATCAGATACTTCTGCAATGGCCGCGGAAGCCAGGTATGCATGTATGAACGCATGCCACGTACATACGTCCATACATACATACATACATACATACATACATACATACATACATACATACATACATACATACATACATAAATGTATGTATATATATGTATATATGTACTGCCATATATACATATATATATATATACTGCCATGAGCCATAACACCTACAATTCTGCAAGATGCCATCAAGTCACGTGAGCTTTCAGACAGGTTCCAAGCACAACATCACAGGTGCAACAACGACAGCCAAGCAGACCCAAACGTCTCTGCCATCATGGAGGCCAGAAGCATGGCCTGATCAGGAGCCGCTCTCCAGAGGGATTGTGGTTCTTCTGCATGCAACAAAGCGTTCGCGGCGTTCTGGGGGGCTCGGTGCCCATCCTGGGCAGGCCTAGAGCCTACGCCGGTCCGAGCCTCCTTCATGAGTCGGTTCATGCTCGGCAAGGGTGCAGTTTTCCAGGTCTCTAGGGCGGGAAGCCTGCAGGGCAGCAAAGCCTTCTGTACAATAATGTCAGGAACCAGACGAAGTGCTAATTGCTACGGATTCTTGATTTGAGCTCGCGCGCGCACGCACGTGCACACAGATGCAGGGCTTGAGTGAAACGGCCGATCATGTGCAGATTCTGCTGATTCAGGCCTCTGCCAGTTGGCACCGCGGTAGCATGCCTCCCACCACCTCGTGACACGAATGCAATCGGCAACTTCAAGCCCTCTCCGCACAATCAAGTGTTCTGATGCGTCGCCCCTTGCGCGACAAATAGGCCCCCCCCCCCTTTGCCCAGGTCTTGCAGCTCACGTTGAACTTGTGCTGTAATCGTGAGACATCCATCCTTTTTCGAGCTCTTCATCCCAGCCTCCCTATCGCTTGCATTTGTTTGAGGAGTCTTGGGGGTCACAGTGCTAAGCACGCCCTGGTTTGGGCGCCAGTGAGCTCAAGGTAACCTCGCGCAAGCCAGGAAGTACTGACCCCACCGAAACACTGGAAGCCAAAGGATGGGTAAAGACAAAGGATGACAAAGGCCAATCGGCCCAGGCTCGAAAACTTAGAGCGCATCGACTGCTTGCAGCATTCGAAAGGTTCCGCGGTCACCACAAAACAAGCAAAATAAAAGTGCTGCCGCAACTTCGCTGGGTGCCCGGTTGAGGCCGAACGGCGACAAGTGTCTTGGCTTCCCCCCCCCCCACTACCCCCTCTTCTCCCCCTTGACAAGTCCATTGTTTACAGGCTACACAGCGTGCCCTAGCATAGATGTAAGGCTTGCAAACCGAACGGCGCAGATGGTTTCACCATGTCATGCGCCCCCTTTGCCCGGTCGTGACTTTGGCAGGAGAAGGTTCACGGCAGCGAGCGAGAAACATGGGAAAACTACATATTGATCCCTCACCTGTTCATCGGACGAAAGCCTGGCATGCTGTTCACCTGTTCGACGCTTCACGTTTTCCCGTCGTTGCTCGGAGCGATGATTCTTGCCGCGGTTTCATCTTCTGAGTCTTCTTATGTCTTCTGCTCCTCGCAACCTGGGGCTCCGGACTCTTCATCCTGGCTCCACAGCTGGTAGAGGCCACTGCTCGTTAGAGCAAATGGCCAAGCCTCCACAGATTGATCGACCAAGAGTAAGACCCGAAGCTGTGACTTAGAGCTCAGGATTTTGCCATGCCTACGCATTTGTTTCTCCGATAGTCAAAACAAGACTGGTATGGTAGATACCGGTAGCTTAGGCCGCTTCGGAAACTTAGGGGCCACTCGGTGAGTCGTGAGCTCCAGGAGGGCTTCGCTTCGCTTCGCTCCGCTGGCCTCGGCGGGCTCACCTTCGAAGAATCCGAGCACAGTGCGCAGGAGGTCATCCAGCAGCACGAAGCCTCACTGCAGTTCACACACTTCACGGTGGCCATCTGCTTAGGATCTCGTGCAGAGGCATTCCGTGTGGCAATTCCCCCGTCTTTCCCCCACCATGATCTACGTCTGAGCCCGGGTCCCAGTGCTGCGCGCGGCGCCAGTGCCTCGGCAGGCGCCTGGCCCGCCTCTCTGGATGCAAACAGACAAACAGACAAACAGACAAACAGACAAACAGACAAACAGACAAACAGACAAACAGACAAACAGACACTTACTTACTTACTTGCTTACTTGCTTAGGCCTTTTCGCCTACCTGCAAGTGGCGTACTGTGTGGGTTCTCTCTCCCCTTTCCTTCCTTTTGGGCATCTTTACAATGTCAGGGCTTCAGGCTCACCACGAAGCCACTAAGTGCTACCAGCAACCAGCGGAACCTTCAGCATTGCCCGGCACCACCGCTGCTCGCCATGATCCGGCCTGAAATCTGGCGAAGGGTGTTGGCTGTTGGAATAACTCAACAAAGAGGTTGCAATTGGGACGGGCATGGTGAAGGGATTTCAGTATCTGAGCACAGCTTGCAAGGAGAAGAATCGAGAAAGCGCTTCGGAACAGAGAGGACAAGTTCAAGCAGACATTGTATTGTTGTTCAGGTTTTCTTCTGCTTTCGCAATCGCGTGTGCCAGCATTTTCGGGACTACATTCTATCCAAGCGCAGTCTGCTGGATGCTTGTCGTCCGCAGCAAGATAAGCTTTTATGAGTGTGGGCAATTGAGCAGGTGTCGCAGAGGTGTGTGGGTGCACGTTTGCATATGTGCTCGCGCATGGGAGTGTTCAATGGGTTTCTCAATACAGGTTGGAGGAAGACACGCAGCCGTGAAGCACAAGCCCTGCGAAAGGTATTTGTGAACTGCTGGTGCGTCTGAACTTCTCCAAGCACGTGGCCACAACAGCAATGCCAGCATTGCCAGGAGGTGTCGAAAGTCACCGAGGCCTTGTGCACTCAGACTGCACACGAAATTCCAGAAACTCGCATGCCAGTCTTCCCGCCTAGACAGTGGCCGCATGCAAGAACCACTGACATCGCGCAAAGCCTTGGGTCTGGCAAAGTTGTCTCATGCGCTCTCCATCTGACGAAACGACCAAGTGAAATTGCACATGATGCACATATGCCATATGCCAAGAGTACCACCACAAGAGCCGGGTATCGCCAAAGTTTTACCCAGATCTATTTGCCTGCCATTAAATGGCGGGGCACAGCGCTGCGCCACGGCCCAAGTCAACCATGGCCTGAGCGACTGGAGCTGCAGTGACCGTGCCCCAGTCGTGCCCCTGTACTGCTACGTGAAGTCCTGTGTTTGAAAAGTGCCCCCCCCCCCCCCCCCCGCTTGCCATTTCTGCAGCCTGTTGCCACAAGCACAAGCCAACTAGCTCCTTGTGCACAAGCAAGCGTGCGAGCACGTGCAAACAAGCAAGCCAGCGAGAGAAAGCTGCAGGCAAGCCAGCAAGCAAGAAAAAGAATGCCAGCAAGATATCGCGCTCAGTACGCAACATGCGAACGTGTCCGTACACTAGTGAGTGTATGTATTGACAGCAGTGCATCATTCTCCTCCCTCCCACATTCCCCTCTCCCACCAGAACCACACAGGCTTCCTATGTTCCAATTCGCCCCTGACTACTCTCTTGATAATGAACTAATACATCGTTGTTTTTTCAAGCCTGTTTTGACATTAATGCCAAAGCAAGACTGCATTCAAGCCCCAAGTAGTGTCGCATCGCAGTTCAAAGCTAACAAAGCTCCAGCAGCTACTACAACGACAAGCCGAAGGCAGGAACAATCACCGGCAATCCTATGTAGGCAGGCAACCTCGTCGCCGTACGGCGCGGTGGGTGCCGCAAAGAAGATGACTGCAAGACCTCGACTTGAGCGGCAAGGTGCAGAAAGCAGGGGGCATGACCCAGGAACCCCCGGCTAAGAGGCACACACAGCAGCCATGGCATGAAGCTGATCGCCTCCAGGAAAACAAACGTGCATTCGAAAAAAGGAATTGCAAAGCAACTGGTGGGCCTGGGGAAAGCTGCTTTGGCATCTGGTCAGGAGTCCTGCAGCACGCGGTGCAAGGCCCACCGCTAGGTCGTTTGCAACACAAAGTCAGAGTCAGACCTTGTAGCAGCTTCTTGCTGGTGCGGCGCGGCACCTTTGCTGGCTCCTTCAGAGTTTATGCGGACACTCTTGCGCGGACACTCTTGCACGCGCTTGCACCCCCAGGATTCCCAGAGTTCAGATAGCACGGGCGAAGATTGGAAAGAACATGCGACTGACAGGATGCACAACTGTCGTCGTAGGTCTGTGGGTGCACGCCACACTGGGAGCAGCTTACTGTAAGTCTGCGCGTTCGCCGACTTAACATCCTCGAAGACCACCACGGGCAACAGATCCATCCTCGCATGGCCAGCCCTCAAACAGCCACGCATCCGAAACGATCAAGCTTGAGCTCAGGCAAGGTCGCCATTTGCAGTGTAAACCTTCTGCATGCACCTGGTTTTCAGGTTGCTGGCACATGCCAAAACTGCGTGAGCTAGCAGACATGCAGGCAGACAGATGTATCTGAAGAGCGCCGCCACTGCACTGAGGCTGCTGCTCAGTCTCAAAGCCTTCTGAACGTAACCCGGAATGGCAGGCGCATGAAACTTATGGGCCCATGTACCCCCGTCTCCACACTATAGGGCATGGGATGCGGCATGCATTGCCAGTTTGCCTGACATGCCGTGATCAGCCGCAGCGCTGGATTGCGGGCATTGGTCACTGACGACATGCAAACTACTCATGTCGCAAGGCTTCCACTCGAACCGATGCCAGCAAAGTGAGTCTAGACAGCAAGATCATCAAACGAAGACCAAATCGACTATAGAACTCACGCAAAGTGCTCAGATGTGTCCCCAAGATTCCCCAAGGCTCTTTTCAGCAAGCTGTTGCTGCTTTGCTTCTCGGGGGCCTTCGGGGAATCTCAGGGAGACGAGTCATTGTCCAGTAGTTGCCGGGCCAACTGCTGCTCAGACCTCGGAACAGCGACTTGGTTCCTCGAACTCTTTTGCAAGAAATCCTGGCCCCATGTCCCCACTGAGCCCTTTCTTAGCACCCCGAACACCAGTCCTGAGGCTCTCCAGAGCCCCAGGCACAGTGTGCAGGTGGTGGATGAGCGGCACGTTCCTGTCACGGAGCCCCCTTGAAATCCAAAAACCACTGCCTAAGGCATGCGACATGGGAGGCTGAAGCATCGTCCTGCCATCCCAAAAGCGCATGCAGTTGTTCCGCACGGCATCCAGCTGGTGTCTTTGACCTGGATTTGCTTTGTGCTTGCATTAAAAAGGCTCACTTCCTCAAGTACTGCATACAGGCCACAGTACGCTGTAGCCTGCTTGGGATCCTGGCCAGGTCGGGTTGCGCAATCGGCGGGCAGTGGTGTCCCCATCTTCAACCCTTTCAACTAAGTCGAAAGTCTAGCAGCCGACTAGCTCGCCTCCCCGGCTGTTTCTCGTTCGCTGTCCATACTCATAAGGGTGATGTTGCCCGAAGCACTCGCCTGTCCCCGTGTCCCAGAACGGAACCCATGGGGGCTGGCCTTGAAGCGACGCATCTCCGCCAACTCCTTCCCGGTGCAAACTGTGCAAACTGTCCAAACTGTGCAAACTGTGCAAACGCTCTTCTCTAGAGAATAGCCCTGCGTGATCCTGCGTGCTTTGGCCATCTTGCACGTGACGTACACGTGCAGACGAGCAGAGTATGAGACTTGCATGTGTCATCGCCGCAACGCGTGCCTTGATGGCTTTCAGAGCTCCCTCCTTCCCTCCACTGATGGGGTTGAGATGCAGCTCCCAGCAGCCCAAAGGATATGCCTGCCGACTTGCACAAAAAATTAAGAGAGCACTGTTGCAAAAGTAGAAGCGGACAGACATAAACACCCAGTGGAGAAAACAAAAACACAGTGGACAGCCAGAGCACCCGAACTTCCGAGCCTTGTGCTTGCCATTCACCGAACCCGCGCCGCAGCCCGCAGATCCAGGGTTCGCCACAGTCACGCCCAGCTGCTTGGGCAAAATGGCCGCTGCCTGGGCAATCCGTGGCATCCGTGGCATCCGTAACATCCATGCAGGGCTTCTGCAGTCCATTGAGGAAGGCCGAGTCTGAGTTGCGCACAAGGTGTGGATACACAACATCCTGGGAGCAACTGCGAGGCCATTCCGACGTGTCGTCCATGAACCTGATGCTGTCTGCTGTACGAAATTGTACTAAGCTAAAGCTGCCACCATCCAGCCACTCTGATCACTCGAGTGACTCGAGTGACTCGAGTGACTCTATAGTTTCAAGCTGAGCACCTGAGCTGCGAGCATTGGACAGCCAACAGCTGCTGCCTCGTCACCAGGGCCTCCTGGTCGGGCGGTGCGTCCTGTGGCAATGAGGAATGGCCACAAAGGCACCGAACTCACTCACGCAAACTCCACATGACCCAACCACCTCCCATACCCCTCCGATTCAAGCAAAGGCGGCTCACGCGCAGAGTGCTTCTGACAAACGTCACTGTTGTTCAAGACACTTGAGCCGACTCGGCCTATCTTCCCCCAGTGCTGCTTCACGACTAGGAGGAACTTTCTGTTAAAGACCTCATGGAAGGCGTGACTGGCATGTGGAAGGATGAAGGAATGACCGACGGCAGCGGGCGCAGGCTCGGAACTGGGGATGCTGACAAAAGCATTTCCCCACATGAGCATGATGGGCCCATCCAGGGTTGCCTTCGAAGACAAGCTTCTCAGACGAAAAGCCAGGAAGGCTATGACAGGACTTCTCGGATGTGCCCCCGTGCTCCAAAAGCTGGGAAAAAGGCAAAGCAAAAAGGCTCCTGCCTGGTCTTGAGGAGAGCCCTCGCGGAGTCCTTTGAGGTACTCGGCAATGGTCTCTCTGGCTCGGGCCTCAAGGGGTTTGCGGTTTCTGCCCTCAGGCCAAACATGGAACCAGCTCCAGATGAACTGCCAAAAGTACCCTGTACGAGCGTAGTTCTATGTTCTGGATCAGATGCGCTCTGGCGACTACACCTTGTAACAACGTGGGTCGAAAGGAAGGAGAACTTCCGTCTGGGCCAACGACGGGGCTGAGGAAGTGGTCCAACTCCGAGTTGATGAACCAGTCGTGCTCTTGCACGAAGTTGGAGTCTTAGCTCTCATGGGCTCTGAAAGATCAGAAAGAAGACCGAAGATGACAAACCGTGGAAGTAGTGGCTTGCTCTGGGCATACCTCTACTCCAGCCGAGGCTCGAATGAGGTGGTTCCACGATGGCATGAGGCCGACCATGTTCCTCAAAAGCACAGCAAAGTCAACTCCAAGTTTGCGCCATATGCGCTCGCTGCATGTCGATTACATGTCGTTGCGGTCCTGTGGTAAAGCCAGTTGTCATCGTCACGGCCCACGCTCTGCGGAGGCACCACGACCCTCATGAAGTCGGCTTCCTGCTTGGCGACACGGGGGGGGCAGGCTCCAAAGTGCCTCGAGGCGCAAGTAGACAGGCCGGCCTTCTGCGGACCAGGAGCAGCATGGTCCGTGTAGAAGATGTGCCCGTCGCACTTTCGATACCTGGGCTCCTCTTCTTCTGCTTCTTCTTCTTCTTCCTCCTCCTCTGCTCTCTCTGTCAATCGGCAAGGCACAGGCAGGGTGATTTATGACAAGCTGCTGCTTCCGGGTCTCAACCAACATCTTCTCATCATACTCGCGACGAGGAGTCCAGGCAAAGCAGAAAAGGGAGAGCTTCGCCTTCCACTTGCGGCCCCGTGTGCCGACATGCCGTGTCAATTTTCAAGGCTTGCCTCCTGCTTGTCCAAGGCCTCCTCGCGAGATTCCTGCAAAGCTGCAGCTACGTCCGAGCATGACCAGCCCCCTGTGACGCTCCCAACACCTCACAGATCCTCACTAGATCCTCACAGATCCTCACGGTACGTGCTGGCGGGCTCCTGAACCGCCCGTTTGAAGGTGTGCCCGAGCACATCCACCTGCGCAGGGCACTGAGCCGAAAGCTTGGAGTCGGTGATGCGATTTCATGCTTCCGCCCTCCGGAAACCTGCCCACTGTGTGCACAATATGCGCGAGGGCCAAGCAACGGCTGGGCTCAGCTTGCAGTTGCTTACGGCATCGAAACCAGGCATCTTGGATGCTCGACTGTACAGGCGAGTCACCGGGGCGCATTTCTGAACACCCAGCGCTCCAGAACGCACACAGCAAAACAGGATCCACCTGCATGATGAAGACGCTACATTCCCTGCAAACTGCAGGAATTTGCAGGATGCGTTGAGGCCTGGAAGCCACTCCACAGAGACCCATCTCCGGTTCTCCTCACTCCCCAAGGCAGCGGCTCCAGCAACCACGCAGGGCTGCCAGCGCCGTGCGACGTCCCAACGGGATGTAGGAAAGCCTCTCTCGCATGGCGACTTGCAAAGTGTCTCGACTGGCATGTCGATAGTCGGCATTCGACAGTCGATTGTCTTGTCAGCACATCTTACCTCAGCTCATGCCTTCGCCCAGGTTTCCCGCAGCTTCCATGGCTCCCCCGTGTTCCACCCATTTTGCAGTCCTTGCATGTTGCAGCCAGGGCACGTGTACCAAACCTCAGTGCTGCCCGGAGCTTCACAGTTTGAACTTTGGAGCCTTGCAGTCTCACTTGGAGCCGGGCCAACGCGGCCCATTGAATGAGCGTGAGTAGAAGCAGGATCAATGTGCGGCCGTGCCAATTCCCCGGGAGCATGGCTACCTGAGTTACATTCCCCGAACAGCTCTGGTGCCTCGCCCCAGGCCTCTCCAAGCCAAAAAAGACTCAGCCGGGCCACGACCAACGTCAACACCATGGACACCAGAAAGCAAAGGGACACCACCCATCGGTGCTCCCTGCCCATGCGGCGAAGTTGCCTGCACTTCCCATCCCTCAAGGAAAACTCTGGCACTTGGGTTCTGCACTCTGCGGATCTCTGCAGCCTCATGGGCCCTGCAAGGAAGAAGGTTCCAATCAAAGCGATCAAGTTTCCCACGCTGTACAAGATGGCAAATCCTCGGGGCGCATGAGCATGCCGACATATTGGAATGTACATACATACATCTCACACACACACACCGAGAGAGAGAGAGAGGGATCTCGAGAGACAGAGGCAGACAGAGAGAGAGAGAGAGGGAGGGAGGGAGGGAGAGAGAGAGAGATAGAGGCAGACCAGAAAGACCCTTGGACGTGCTCTCGCTACTCTTGCCGCCACAAAGGTCGCTCTGCCGCTTTCTCGCCGCCCACCACCGCGTGAACCCCCCGGCCCATGCCGCTAAACTCCAAGAGCAAGCCAAGTGCCAGGCCTGGAAAATGGCGGGCAACGTCAGAACGGAGTGGAAAAACTGTCTTCAGACACTACTGGCAGAGAGACAACTGCACGGATCGCACTGCAGGCAGGTCGCATGAGAGCCAGCCAATGATCCGCTGCTTGATTGTCCTTATTGACAGTAGAATCAAGCAGAGCTGAAGCCGATCCGTTCTTTACTTTGCGGCTGTGTCACATATGCGGGCACATAACATCGGAGTTTGCTGTGAGCGCCTCTGAGCATCAGCGCAGGCATGGAGGACTCCCCACACAAAGCTCTTGCCGTCACTGTCAGTTGACTGGGAATGATTCGAGGAGGCGACCCGTTTGCGGCATGAACCGAATGAGTCGGCCAAAGAAGGGCGTGAGTCGGTCAAAGAGAAGATAACTTTCAATGTTCCGCGGGGGAACTCTTGGCCGATAGAGTACAAAACCAGAAGCAAACTCCTTGCCGAGAGGGCTGGGACTTTGCCCATGCTCGGGTGTTTAAGGCGTATATCGCAAGCCCTTCGATCCTGAAAACTCCTTTTCCTGAAAACTCCTTTGGCCGCGGCATGCTGTCTCTAAAGATCCTACAAGTGGTAACTTGTGCCAGAGGGTATGTAGTCTGACTTGTGCCCTCTGTTGTCCGATTTCGGGGGACATGGACCTGCGCAACCGGGCCTCCTCGGCCTCATTCATGCTTATGCCTCCTGCGGTTGGCTTGTGGTCAGAGATCCACTCCACAAATCTTCGCGTCATCCCCTGAAGTTCTCCAGCCTATTGACCGCAGCGATGGCAGGCTAACGCCGCTGGGCTGTGACTCGACCTCCGGGGCACCTGCCGGGAGCTGCAATGATGGCCCATAAGCCCATGGGCCCGTCACGCAAAAGCGCTTCCACGTGCTCGTCGCCCTCTTCGCGGCAACGACGCCTGCAGCGGTCGGAAGCCAGCTGCGCCAGCTGCGAGCCGAGGCCGAGCCAGCACCCGCCTCGGAAAGACTCCATTAACAGACCAATGTAAAGTTAAAGCACGCAAGGAAGAAGAAGGAAAAGAAGTAAACAAATGACACAGAGAAGCAAGAGAAGAGAGAGCCGGAGACCATGTCAGCATCGCAGCAAGCTTATGCGCCTGCGAGCCATTGTCATTGTCTGATGCCTCCTGCACTACGGTACATCCCCACATGAACCCAAAAACTTCCGATCTGCTTTTCAGCATTTTTCAGCCACATGCTCGAAGAGCAAGGCCAGCTCAAGAATCAGTTGCAACTGCACTGCACCAAGTCCGTCCTGGCTCCTGTTAAACGGCCACCACCGGCTCATCGCAAGCCGAGGAACGAGGTCTAGACCGAGCTAATCCGAAGTAGCAAGCTGAAATGCAGCTGAAGTTGGCTGCATTGACAAGCCATTTCACGATGATCATGTCGACTTCATGGGCTTATTGATCTTCTTGTTCCTTCTGTCAGGCAATTGCTGGCAGAATGCCTTGTCAGCAGTGTCTCGGGCCGCAACGCTACAATGCAACAGATGCTGGAATTGATCAGTTCAGCCCGTAAGCACAACCCGAATGACCGCAACGATACCTGCTTCATCAGCAAGGACCAGCTAGACGGTTCTCGCGTGGCCTCAACAGCTTCAGACGTGCTCTCCACGCTTTATACTTTACAAGCTTGTCGTGACATGGTGAGTGAGGACGTGGCGTAGGTTTGCAAACACTCTCTGCAGCTTGGAGCATGACCTCAGCCACAAGTTTTCGGAACCAAGTTTGTCTTGCAAAGGCTCCGTGCCCCTGGCAAACGTCCTGGCAAGTTGCCAGAAGCCGTCCTGCCCGACCACTCACATGCCAAAAGTTGCAGGTGTTGGAGGCAACGTCGCCCGTCACATTTTTACCGATCTCTCTCTCTCTCTCTCTGCACGCTTGGCCCCCTCCCGAAGGAGAAGGCCGCCCCCAGGGGCGTGCGAAGTCCACAGTTTGTTGGGTGTGACTTCCGCGTTTTTCGGGGGCCACTCTGGGTGAAAGTACGGGGTCCAGGGGCTGTTTGCCTGCGATCCTCTTGCAATGCCTTAGAGCCGCGGGCCGGGGTTCACGATCCCCGCCCCCCCTCTTCCCCCATGGCTTGCCCAACAAGCTAGCTGTGATTGCGATGCCCCCATAATCCCACTAAGACACCTGCGGCCCGGGTCACTCCCCCCTCTGTGCCCCGTGCTCTCAGCCGAAAGCCTCCCTCTCTCTCTCTCTCTCTCTCTCTCTCTCTCTCTCTCTCTCTCTCTCTCTCTCTCTCTGAAGGCAAAGCACTGTAGAGGGCTTGTGAAAAAAGTTTGCAACATCTTGCACCACTTGCTTGCTTGCAAAGCACAGGAGAGCAATTGGAGCCCATGGCCTTGCAGCTCCTTGCGTCGCCTGCATGTTTTGCGACCAATTAGGAAGGCCACCGCGAATGATACCAGTGCCAACGATGCCGCATGATGCCCCAAACGCATCCAAAGGTAGCCAAAGCCCATTGTGACTGAGTACCGTGCGCAGCATCCGCAGCGACGCAGCTTGATGCATTCACTTGCATCTGCAGCGTGGCATTGACTGACGTGTGCGCAAACCTTACACCAATTTCACTTGCATCTCGCCATGACCCGCAAGGTGCAGAGGCTTGGCTTCCCACAGTTGGAGCTGAGAGGTTTCACCAGGCGTCTGCCAGTGCCTCATGAGATCAGACTTCAAAAATGCATGGAATGGAACAGCACTGCCACACAGCCTGAACATGGCATGGCATTAACCCCGCCTGATCATCTCTCGGCCCCATTGGCCCATCTCCTCCATATGGAAGAGAAGGCTCTCCCAAGTCCTTTCACCGCAGAGAGCAGCGCAGCAGCCACAGCCACGCAGGGCTTTGCCACAGAAGCGCGCACACACACACAAAGAGGAAGGTTACTCACAAGAGCACGCTGACTTATGCTCATACGGCATGGAACACACAGCATTCCTGAGTTCGCTCCTGCTTCGTCTTACACAGTATTGTTAAGACTGCTCCACGGCTGCTCTGAAACAGAGAATAGCAGAGAAACGTGGGGCAGGCACGAGGCTTCAGTGGGTGACCCAGGGATGGCGACATCCCCTGGATGCCCAGCAGCCGCAGATGCGGAGCCGCCTCACTTCCAGCTTGTGATGAGCTGCTATGGCAAAGCATGAGCTTTCTTAGTCCACAGCTGCCGCACTGCGGGCAGCTCGGATAGAGCCCAACCTTGCCAGTAGCTTTCTCTAGACCGTATCTGGCAGAAACTGACGACGGCGGTTCGCATTTGCGAAAGCAGGCGCTCGCAAGTTCTGCGGAACCCCAAAGTTTCTCAGGAGCTTGCGGCCTTGCCTCAGCAACACCAAGCAAGTTGCTTTCCACAAAGGGGAAGAACTTGTGTTTTGCACCCCCAGTCCCCTTTTCCCGTCTCGCGCCTGAGAGATCCGAAGGACTGACTACAGTAGCGCGCTATCTGCAAGCACTCTTCTGCATTCGACCGAAGATCACCACTGGGCGAACGGCACATCTCCATGCACACGCCCTTGAGCTGGCTCTTTAGAAGAATGCCTTACCGGTTCATTGCATCATGTGGCATCTTTTTCTTGAGTCTGCAGTAGAATAGAACTGCATTGCCTAGGGGCCTTGCGATGCCAGTGATCCTGCTGCACGCAGGCCTCTGCGATCAAGTCTGCACTGTGTCGGGCCTCACGTGCATGCAAACCGTTTGCCACCAAACAGGTCTAGCGGGTTCGTGTGCTCCTTCCAGTGAAGCAGCAGATGGTGCCAACACTACTGGTAGCACATGCCAAGCCGCTTCTCCATCTTCAGAGGCTGCCAAGGCGGCCAGACCTGTTGCTCTCACTTGGCAACTTGGCAACGTTGCCGAGGTCAAATCAGGAGGTCACTGCTTTGCTGGGGCGGCTGCCGGACTCGGCCTTGCGGCTGAGCAACGCTGACCTCACTGAGCTAGAGACTGTAACTCTCAAAAAGATCCACAAAAGCGACGAGATCAGCAATGTGTCGACGAGCAGCCCCCATGGCAGAAGCGGAAGAAGCAGCTGGCAGGCTTGCCGTGGCCGCATCTGGCAAAGTGCGGCTGCAAAAAGTCGTGCGCGCGTGCGCGAAGCAAGCTGCATTCAAGCACGCTGCAGCTTCGAGGTTGGCGTGACAAGATTAACAGGCCCGACCCGCCTGGGCACAGACAGGCTCCCAGCCCTGTCCGGCCGCTACGTTGTAACAGCTGCGGAACGAGGAAGCAATCGAGACATCCTAAACAGAGGCGAATGCCGAGTGCTTCATCTGACGATCTTCTCACTCTTTGCCTGCTCTCGAGGACAGCTCGTTGAAACTCAGAAGCCCTTTGAGGATTCCGCGCAAGCTTCAGGTTTGGACGAGCTGCCGATGTCTTTCCACTTTCTCCCCTCTAAAAATTAAAAGACCGGGCGCTCGGGCTCTAAAACCACGAGATGAGGACGACTCCTTTTTGGAGTCCCTCCATGCGGGGGCTCGTCATTGCAAGCAGCTCACATGGGCCGATCCCATGCTCCCATCAGGCCAAAAGAACACTCTTGGGGTCAGGTATTGACTAAGGGCCAGCAAAGATCATCCAAGCTACCTCCTTCTTTTGGAAGGTGCCGCGTCTAAATGCAACGGAGCATGTCCGAAAGACCTGCACAGGCGAACTTAAGTCCAAAATCAGCTGCAAAGGCAAAGTCCAGGCGCAAAATCAGAGACGACGTCTTGTTTGTAAAGGGAAGGCTTGTGAGCGAGCTAGTATTGCAGAAATTTGACAGCGCATTCCATCGACTGCATCTAGGATGGCATAAGACCAACGCCGAAACAAAGATCCAGGGCGTCTGGGAAGAGCCTCAGTATCCTCCACAGCTCAAGGACAAGGCTACAACCCACTTTTTGGATGGAGGGCAAGAAGATGTAGAGGATCTGGTCTACTCGCACCTCTCTCCCCGAATCATTCATGCCGTAAAGGCCGTTCGAAAAACCACCTGAACATTTGGGAACTTGATTGGTCAACGGCAACTCTCGCACGCTCCAAGGAGCTATCTTTCGTACTTGATAAGGTTGAAACCCGACTTTCAGTCCAAGCTGCGTCCACGGCTCAGCAGCCTGGGAGCAAGCGAAGCTTTTGCCTGGCATCTCAATCAGATTCGCCCGTCTTCACCAATACTAGCAGTAGCAACTGTAGCAGAAATCATTCAGATTCTGCAAGTTGGATATGCAACCAGGCTGGCAACACAAGGCCGCCCCAGGTTTTGGGGTTGCGCTCTTGCCTCGGAACACAGACAAGTCAAGATACTGTTGCAGCATGGTGCCCTGCATGTGCCTGTTGCACATCTTCACTTTGAGGTTCTCTTTGAATGGCATGTGGAAAACATGAACGCCCGGCAGCATGACCGATGGTCGGCACGATGGCTATGCCAAGTTGCAAGATCCGCGGGAGGAGTTTCCCTTGGTGCCTCTGATGAAGTTCAGGGCGCAGTCGCGCAGAGTAGCACAGAGTCGTAAACCAATGAGCTTACGACTCTGGTTCTGAAGCCGTGTCGAAAGGAAGCGGCACACAAAAGGCGAGCCATACGACGCACAAGGGTGGCAACATGCCAGCGCCAGGGGATGCCAAGGGGCTCCTCGATCCTTTGCTGCGCCGTGCTGCTTGGTCCAATTGCCTCGTGTGCCAACAACTCTCCCATTTGGTTCCTGCCGGCTCCTGCCATAACCCGTGCAGCTGCTACTTCTGGACCGGGCCGTGTCAATGACTGTCTTGAGCACGAGGACTGCGTTTTCAACCTGCATCAGCCCGCAGAGAGACTCGACTGACTCGACTTCACCTCCACTGTTCTATCTGCCCTCGTCAACTTCAGAGCGTTCCGCTTTGAGAGTCTGAGACGGTGGCTGCTACGAAAACCAGCAGCTTGCGCTCCAAGCCTTAGGAACACAAGTAGGACCAGTAGGACGTGCCACCGGAAGCCCCTGCGGACAATCTCGGGATGCATGCACCAATGACGGCCCGTGATCGAGACACAACACAGGACGCTCCGAATAAATGTGACAAGAAAGTTCTGGATCCCAGTCAGTCCCTTCGAGAGCTCAGTAGAGCCTGGACACGCCTCGCTAACACAAGTCATTTTGGGGGTCTTTTGATGGGTTCGCTGCTGTGAGCAGGCGACAGGTCACCTCAAACACTGCGGCCTCAGCTCTTTTGATCGGCTCTGACCCCTTCTTTGTTTGCTACTACCGCACCCTGTTGCGATGCCTTAAGAGCAGGACTCATTCGAGCAAGACTGGGCCGCCGGTGTAGCGGCATAGAATGGAACTCGGCATTGAAGTTTTGGTGCCGGGAACTGGTGCTACAGTTTTGGTCCTGGACAGTTTTCGAGGTCCGCCTCGAATGGCCGACGCGGCATTTATTAACACGAGCAGAGCCACACGTGGAACAGTCGACAATATGGAGTGCCCTCAACCAAGGTGAATGGCACCGCCAAGTCAACTCAACCACGCTTGAACAACAAACTACAGGCTCCAAACATCTCCAAGCTTGGGTGCGAACTCAAGTGACCACACAGCGGGGAGACAAAGATTACCTGAGTGTCGGCGCAGCTTCAGCGGCATAAGCCTTTTGAGGCTACCCGCTTCTGCACACCAAGCCGAGGCAAGACGGGCCACAAGGTAGGAGTTGAAGATTACCCCGATCCACGAAAGAAGGATAATGAGGTCCTCAGTGACAACCGTGCCACGCCGCCCCGATGTTCGCCGTGCACTGCAACTTTGCTGCATAGCAGGAACAGTCCTCTCCACCAAAGCCTTCAGCCCCAAAGGGACTTGGTCTCTGGTATATGTAGGAGACCTTGTACCTGCGCTTGTGCGCAAAAGCAAAGCTCACTCACGCGTCCATGAAAAAACACCCTTCATACTCGCTGCAGGTGCATAGACAGAGTCTCAGGAGCAACGTCACGGACAATGACCCCGACTTGTCTAGAATGCGCAGATTCTTCGCAACTTCGGCGCACGCTAGCATGCGCTTGAACCTCGGAATAGTAGGAATGGACACTTACGCTGACTGCCACAGCATTGATTCCAGTCCAGCTTGGGCAAAGGCAGGAAGTTGACGCAGAAGCAGATGCAGCACCTGCGGTTGTAAGCCCAAAACCCGGTTTTCATAGGGATATGATAGAACGGCCCGAAGAAATCGCATGTTTTGACTCTTAGCTGTGGAAAGGCTCGAGGTGCATGCAGCCTGAACGAAACCTTTGGGACAAATTCCTGCAGCTGTGCGACGGAGTTGCCAAACATATTTAGCTCCCGCCAGCCCCGAACATCACAAGATAGCAGGCGTGGATTGCTCTGCTGCCCAGGAACACGTAAGGCAAGCAGACTCCAAACCTCAGCAACCACACATAAGCACACTCTGTGTCCTACACCGGAACTGTATTCAGCCACTACTCAGCCATGTCGCATTACTAAGAAGCCATAGTTGATCACTTGAAGTTGCACGTCCGACATGAAATCCTTCGGCATGGCAACCACCCGTCAGCAACAAATTGGCAAACAACAGCCGGCTCAAGTCTTAAGTGACTGGCTATCCAATGTTCGGTTACAAGTCTCCTCATCCGAATATTCAGGACATTTGGCCTGGTATTCCTTGGGTGACACGACCATCTGTTGAGAGAAGTCGGCGCCACACTCAGACAGTATTAGCAAAGCACGTGGATGGCTCTGCGTGTGAGTTCATCCCAGGCACGAGGTACGAGTACTCCTTGTTGCCAGCTTTCTTTTGTTCAGATGCAACCTGCTTTGTCTGGATGTCGCAGCACAGGTATCGCATGTCTTGACATGTTGACAATCCCTGTGCTTCCGAGTGCTCTGGTGGGCCTTGAACCAAGAGATAATCACGGAAATGAACAAAGACATCACCTGCCAGCTGAAGGAACACAAAGAAAGGATGCGGAAAGCGCTGCATCTCTCGAGCTGAAGCTGTGCCTCCATAGCAATCTGCGTGAAGAAGAAGAGTCGCAAATCGCTGCTTAATGCCTGTGCAAGGCAGCGCATGGCAGCTGAAGCAACTTGAACCTAGGTTTTGGGTTTAGGGGTTAGGGTTTAGGTTTAGGGCTTGGGGTTTAGGGTTTAAGGGATCATAAGAGACCCACCTTGAAGCATAAGGAGATGTCCACATCGCTGCGTACGACAGGCTTGACAAGAATCCTGGGCAACCACTGCCATGAACAATTTTTTGTGCTTCAAACATCCCCACCCAGCAGGTAAGGAATTCGCCGGCTCACTGGTTTAGGCACTCCGGGGGTTCTTGAGACTCTAGGGTTTTCTGAGGATGCTGTTGGCCACTCTTCTCTGCTTGGTTAGCAGAAAGCGAAACCGAAGGGTAAGCTTGGCTGCAAGAAACGACATCGTAGACCAGAGCAACACCCCAAACCCATGACTGCAGCACTGGTTCGTGTAGAGGAAAGGATAGTAATAAACAACGAACCTCAGAAACAACGAGTCAGTTCATCAAATTTCACAGCAGGAACTCTCAGAGAATGGGATGACCGGAACGTCCGAGATGCTTCACCGCGAACAGCTTCTCTGTAGCCTTGTTGCGCAGCTCTGCATGTGTCCTCCGGGAGTGTTGCAGACCATTTGCACAGCCGGAAGCGCCAGAACGAAACGCTCCTCCAATTCTCGATCTTGGACAGGTTTGTGGAGAGATAGGTCCAGATGTAGTCAACAATCTTAATGTTCGCTGTGATGAGGAACCTGTCACACAACAAGTTGAGAACCAAGATCCACTAATTCCGTAGGCCACGCTTCTTTCATCTATCCAAGTCGCTTCCCATATGCTTGCAAGTCTTCGTGCCTCACCACTTAAGGCTCGTCAGCAGCAAGGCAGAATGCGCAGGACATGCGACCCGTGCATTCCCAACTGCCATCCGCTGTCCAGACACCGGATACCATAGGATCGCCCCATGGGATCCTCCTGGGCATCCACTCGCAAGCGGCTGACCTGAAAGCTTTGCAAATTTGGCGGCTCACAAGCAGAACCTGCAAAGCAATACGCACAAGATGAAACAAATAGTGAAATATGCTGGAAGCTACCTCTGCTTGCTACGCTCATCTCGGCACTTGTGCAGCAGCGCTGCAAAGAGAGTCACGAAAACCGTTTCAGCCATGAAGGCGGCACAGAGAATCCTGGCAGTCTTGGGCTCAGCCTCTTCTGGCAGCGTGTGCGGTGCTCGGCTTCTTGCGAGCTGAGATGATGCAAGCTAGAACTCAAGCACGCCAGACACTTCAGGCGAATAGAGAGGGCATCCGCAACAGCACATCCGGTCCAGTGGAAGCACTGCTGGCAATACTCCCCCCAGCTGTCTCTGTAAGCATCGCTAAATTGCCTGCACAGGGATGAAGAGGTGAACGCAGATACTTGACCAACAAGCAGTGATTGCGCAAGCTCCGACCTGTGCTGTGAGACCTTCCTAGGAAAGTCCACATCCTTTAAGCCGACTAACTTTGTGTTTCTAGCCGTTCTAGGCCCTAGGAACAGAACTTGCTCATCATGCACCAATTGTGTGAACAGGCTTTGGTGCATGGGATCAAGTTGAGACCTTGACAGCGGATGCTTCGTGGGACCCGGCTTGGGCCTGCGGATTTCGGCTACGCCACGATCGTGGTGCTTCATGCCCCACTTGAGGACCTGAAGCAGCGCTCATGGGAACTTTAACTCCCCAAACCATTAAGATGCTTTGCAAGTGAGACCAGACAAATATTTTTTCAGTTCACGTGTGGCCCAACACAACTACCGCGGGCCCGCCTTGAGATTCTTCAACTGCTTGTACCTCTCAAGTCTTGGGGCCGAATCTAACCGTCTGCGAAGAGCCTCCCTAAGCACCCAGCTACAAGGAGGAGTAGAACAGAGCATTTGCCCTGGGTGAGGCCTGGCCAGAAACGCAGTGGACCAGACTCCCAAAAAGATTGAGAAAGCCACATACCTTAATGTGCAGGGCAGGTGAAAAAGTCAGAAACCACCCTGGCCACCGCAAAGTGGCTTGGAACCACTGTGGAGCCTGGAGCTTTCAATAGCCAGATTAGGAATACATGCTGAACCTTCGACATTATGAGCTCGAGCAAACGTGTGTGTGTGTGTGTGTCAGTGTCAGTGTCAGTGTCAGTGTCAGTGTCAGTGTCAGTGTCAGTGTCAGTGTCAGTGTCAGTGTCAGTGTCAGTGTCAGTGTCAGTGCACCCCACCACCCCACCACCCCACCACCCCACCACCCCACCCCACCAGAATGCGTTGAGAGTCCGAGAGCTTCTCCACTTCTGAAGGACCCAAACACTTTGCCCCACGAAGGAAGCTGAAGATCTCGTCAGGATAGCGCCGCCCAACCACTGGGATCTCTCAAGGTCCCCAGAATCGGCCCATCCAAGCCAAGTTGCTCTCCCCAGCGCACAGTTTCCTCAGCAAGGCCAGAAGAGACGTCGAACTGATTCAAATTCGAGTTAGAAGCCGACATCCGCCGAGGCCTCCGGCCGAAAGGTGTCTAGGTTGTGAGAACAGGCACCCCCCTCCAAATCCACCCCCCAAGCCCACATGTCGGACCCCTTTTTTTTGCCTGGACCCGTAAGCAATAGAATCTTGCTTTAACCCCCCACCCCCACCCCCCCCCACCCCCCACCCCGACCCCTTTCCCAAAGTTGAGGGTTTCGGGTTTCCTCACCTCTAATCCCCTCCCCAAGTAACTTGAGCCTTTTATCTGCAAGCCCTTTATCTGGCGTTTTCTTGCCCTGGCAGCCCTGGCATGGGTGCGTTTTGTAGCTGAGTGCAAGCCCCCACCTCCCCCCCGCCCCCAACGTCGGCCCCCTCTCCAGGAGCTGCATTGGGCCAGGCCGCGGCGGGTCGCGTAGCGTTAAAAATTAGAGCATTTTTCGCACGCGTGCCTGCAAACCACAGTGGTTGAATCAACACGACGAAAGCAACTAGCCAACAGCTGAAAGATGCCGAGAGGCTGGAACCGACCTTGACACGAGCTCTGAAGGGTGCAACAGCGTTACACAGGAACCTTCTGCCAACTTGCGTCCCAGATGCTCCTTGAAAAAGGCGTCTTGTACCAGGATCGGTGCGGACAGCAGGGCAGGATAAACCAGAAAGCGCCTCCAGCAGAGCATCTTCGGGGCACAAGGGCACAAGGGCACTGCGGCACAAGTACAAAGAGGCGCTGTGCGCGCTGGCATGCGCTGGCATGCGCTGTGATTTATGGAGCCACGCCACGTGTACGCGTTGAACCAATGAAAGAAGAACGCGAGGTCGGCCCCGAAGTACTCCTGGATGCCTTGGTGGAGATTCCCCGAAGCCCCAGAGGCTCATCGGATCCACTTGAAGCGATTTCCCGAGTCGACGAGGGCATCTTGCGATTCCGAATGCGAAGAAACATCGTCTGGCGAGGCAGCTCGGACAGCCAGGATGACACAGACTTTTGCCTCCCAGGTGCAATCGGGAAGGTGGTCTCCCGGCCATTGCAGAAGGTTGAATGGATCCTTTGCTGTCACAAAGTGCGCGACACATGCCATAGTGATTGCTGGGCCACGGTGTCGTTCAGTATGCCGCAAGCGCAGAAGCCCACGCAAACACGCACACACGAACACACACGCGCGCACACGCACACGCGCGCACGCGCGCATGCACACGCACACACCCGCACACTTGCGCAACGCCCATACTCGCACACGCACCCACACCCGCACCCGCAGCCCCAGCCCCAGCAATCAGCCGCAGCCGCCACACGCACGTACTCACACACGCATTCATGAAGCAGCAAAGGCAATACACGGAATGGGACTCGAACAGATTGGGATTGCAACGAATCAGGGAATGCAGCTGAGCCCGATTGCTGACAAACAACTAGGATGCGCAACTTCCTGAACATCATAAACAATGTGGGGATACAGGTTTCGGTCCCTGGCGGGCGCTACCCTCGCGAGACCCTACTTGGGGGCATGTTTCGAGGCACCAAGACGGCACGGTGCGGGCGAACACACACACACACACACACACACACACACACAGAGACACACACAGACAGACACACACACACACACACAAACTTTTAGCTGCTTGAGCGAAACGCGTCAATAGGAGCTGGCTCCCACTCTTATTGCTGATCCGTTTCATTCCACCGCCTCGTCTGGTAGAAGTACTGCAAGTCCATCCAATGATGGACGCAGAAGAACTGATTTATCACGCCTTCCTTGCTCCAGCAAAACGCAAAACTACAAGATGCAGCATGCAGCACATTGGCAGTAAGGAAACAGGTGGCAGCAAGGCTTGTTGCACGCAGCATCGGCAGTTCTGACCAAGTCGTCCCAGTCGCTGCAACCAGCGAGTGCAAGCGCACAAATTTCCGGATCCGATGCCGAGCCAGGCGTATGTGATCAGCCATGTTGAATTCCTTGATGTACCAAACTAAGTCTCTCTCTCTCTCTCCCTGCACGCTTGGCCTCCCAAGGGCAGGCGGCTTCGAAGGGCATGCGAGTCCCACGCTTCAGTCAGTCTATCTCTCTCTTCTCTCGCTGACTCTCTTTGTCTCTTTCTGTCTCTAGCAGCATATGCCCCGATGCGAGCGCGCCTCGCAGAGTTCCGCCATCTCCCCAGTATATCTCACCTAATCGACCACTAGCAAAGCTGGAGCTTATCCAGTCGCTAGGCAGACTTCCACTACCATTGAAACTCATCTGGCGAGCGACAAATCCGGGATATCTGTTGGTGTGTCTTTGTCCATCCAAAAGCTCCTTATTTACAGTACAACATCGCGGACTGCAAGAAAAAGCACAGGTCCCCGTACTCGGAAGCCACATCAATAGCAGACAATCGCATGTGACAGCTTTGGAAGCCCAAAACCTGTCGGGTACTCGCCGAGGCACACCGAAATCGCGGACACGAAAGGTAGAACGACCTGACGTCATTTGACAGCTACAACAAGTTGTGCAAGCTGCACCGCAGTGAATGTAGTGATGCAGACACAACTTCGTTTTTGCTGTGCCTGCTGCGTCATCGGTTGCACAAGTCAGCCCCTTGTAAGCAACGTCATGGCGCAGCATGGCCTTGGTTCGCACAGTCGCTGGGCCTGAGCGCCCTCTGTTGCAGAACAATAGCTAGGCGTCGCAGGAGCGTTGCACGCATGCATGAGTATCTAAGATATCACGCGCCACACGCTGCCCAGACGCAGGGAACTCCTCGTGTTCAGCAATGGCTTTGACAGCCTCGTCACAGCAGTCGACCCTCAGATCTACCTTTTTCACTACGCCACGGGTGCCAAAAAGGCATGTGCTGGTTGACAGTTTGACCCCTCAGTCCGCTGAGCGCTGAGATGCCTCTTCATCTTTCAGGCTCACAAGAAGGAAGATCTCGTCCTCGTCTACGGTCCTTCCATTTGCGGATATCTGAGGCAAGCCCAACCACCGTCGGCCGTGCCTGAACGTCTCAACATCGAAGCCGCAGTGCGGCCCAGTGCAGATTTGAACCTCGCGGCAAACTCTTCTACTTTCTGGTTTGCTCAGCTTCAAGCCGATTCAAGCCCCATGCCAAGGCATGTGGCCAATGCAGGCACCACAAGAAGCAACGCAAGCAATAAGGCATCGACGAGCTCCTTGAAAACCTCGACAGACACACTGCGCGCTTGCTTTGGTCGATCAGAAAGGAAACCTGGAAAAGCCCTCGTTTGCTCATCAGAAACTTTCTGGGCTCACAATGCATCCAGCGTGCGGCTTCATGGAACTGCTTGTTCGTGGCCCCTTCTTCGAAGGTCATGTCAGCAGTTCCGGCAAGACGCGTGAAGATCCTGTTTGTGAATTTCGAAAAAGCCAAAGCAGCCGTCACCCTAAACCCTAAACCCGAAACCCTAAACCGTAAACCCTAAACCCCCAACCCTAAACCCTAAGCTGACACAGCAGACACGCAGCTCCCCTGTCGCCTGTCCCATGCCTCATTGGGCTCTAAAGCCGGAGAGGACCAGAAGTCGCCTTTGAGGTCCGCGGGAAGTGCGAAGACATACTGCCACCGCCTGCAAAACAGACATAATTCTAGGGTTGAGTGGGTTGGGGGTTTGGGGTTTAGGGCTTATGGCTTAGTCTGGGTTGTGTATGCACGGGCTGGCGTGCGACAACATTGTCGTTGCTGAGACATTGGCTGGCTGTTGTCAAACATCCTCCATCCGCAAATTTCCTAAGCTGATGCGAGAATGATTTCCATCGTGACAGGCTTCAAGGCGAGAACCGGAGTCTGCAGACTGACAATCAAAGTTGCGCGAAAACCCAACATGTTCCGGAAGGGCACAACCTGTCATTGTGAATTCAGCTGAAGCTCAATCGAACTCCCCGGAACCAGTTGCATAGTCTCGGACGGCCGGGATGACGGAGACGACTCCTTGAACGGCAAACGGTTTGGGCACAAGCCAAGCTCTCAATTCACAACCTCTCTCCTCACGGGCCATCTGCACTAAGAATCAGACTTGTATTAGCACGGCAATGCTGCCTCTGTACATGTTGCTGGTTTGCAAAGAAACTCTTCTCCCTCCAGCGCTGCTCAAGTCTCCACATGGACAGCTGCCATCTTAGCCAGGTCATGCTTCCTTCCTACATGACGAAGATACCCTCAAACTTGCCAAGGCCCTAAGAGTCCTATCGTAAAACGTGTACCGCTGTTCGGGATCAATCTGAATTTGGTGGAGGCAAGCATGCAAACCAACACCGTCACCCAAGTTTAGACTAGCCAAAACGATTTCAGTCATGAGCGACATCACATGCCTGCCGATACACATTTACATGTATTCTAAGCTGTCATGAGATGCCATGATGTAGCCATCTGATGTACCTCATGTCTGCGGCAGCACACAACATGCCAACCACTTGTTCAACATACACCGTTTTGTCATAGCAATCACGCTGCAAGGGAGATGTCCGATCCGCTAAATCAATGCTTCAATCCCCGGTGCCACCCAGAGATTTGGATATATAGCATGGCCTACTGGCATCACGGAAGGCGCAGAATGCCTGATATTGCGCCGATCCTCTTCCCACAACCTGTTTCCTGGAACGCTCAGCTGCGCTCCGAAGGCTCTGTGAATTGGCTTTCGGCACTGCTACCACCTGCAAACTGCGAACCTCTGCCTGCACGAAACAACTCCAACTCGCTGCACGAAGCTTGCGTCTGCCTTAAGCCCCAAATCCTAGGCGTAAGCAGTTTTGCCCAAACACCCTGAAGCCTAAAGCATCCGCCTGGATTTTTCTCAAATGTGTGCTTGACGCATCTTGCGCAGGTTGGATATGCCTTCGCTCTCTATGTAGCTCTCTTGGAACAAGTGCCCCGGGTCGCGGCACGGCGGAGCTGTCTGCTTCTTGCAAACTCCTTTCGCACAAAATGCAATGCAAAGGGTGCAGCTGCCTGCAAAGTACGTGTATGTTGCGCCAGTGGATGTATAAAGTTGTATATGTCTACTGTTTTCCAGCTATCACAAATTGAACTTTCACCGAAAAAGCCGCTGCATGGGCTGACTGCACAGACGCTTGACAGATCACACGAAGGAATAAGGTGGCCCTGCAGACACTGAGAGGGTTGAGGCTTCAAGGATCCTCAGTCATTCTAGACAGCCTAAACCCTAAGCCCTTGATTCTAGACTCTGTAGACTTGCAAGTGCATCCAATGTCTGGACATGCCGACCTGGAGGATTCCATGTTGACAGGCGCCATGAGGGAAACTTTGTTCCGCAGGCCGTGAAACGAACGCAGACTGCTTTCGTCTGTCAGCAGCTTCGCTGGCCCAACGCACAAGCCATACCAAGATTTAACCTACGGTTAGGAGGGGCCGTGGTGCCCAACGCACGTGGGGCTCAGCACGCGCATCAGCGCTCGTCGCCAGCCCTTCCTTTGTGCACGACCTGCGTGAATGCTCTGGGAATTCAAGACTCTTCTCGCCTTCCGGGTCCTCTTCGGAGATTTGTTCTCGACATTTTTCTAGGGTTTGGAGATACAGTTATTCGGGTGCGGGCCATGCGCAGGAGACTACCTTTAAGCTTGTCGGACACAAGTCTCGTGACTACGGGTTCTGGGTTGCTGTCAAGGAACTTAGATTAAGTTACTACACTAAGGAAACCGTATTATTTACTGACTATATATATCCCCATTATGGTAACTCAAATTGAGTTCCCTAGCAGCAACCCAGGGCTTTGTCGCACTTGCTGCAGATCTGGATGTACACTTCGGGCTTGTGGAGACTGCTGCATTGCTGAGCGGGTGCGACCTTCGTTCTTTGCCTGCCTGCATTCCTGATGCAACCCGAACACCGAAACCGCCAAACCCCAACATATGTAGAAGCAGATGGCACGCCGGAACCCTCCAAGCTACTGCTGGGACCCGAACTCATCCGTGGCTGTCGGGTAGGGCACAATGGGCCGGGTCCTTGGCATCCCCCATGCTCGAATTCCCCTCGCTCCGAGACCCTTTGCCTGAATCGTTATCTTCCCGCGGGGGGGCCCGGGGGGGGGGGGGGGACCGAAACCCTTGAAAATCTAACATAAAGGGGCATCTTGCTCCGAAAAGTTCCCACATCCAAGCAGGCCTGAGAAGATCCCGGACTGCATGCTCAGGGCTTAGGGCTTAGGGCTTAGGGCTTAGGGCTCAGGGATTCGGATTCGGGGTTTAGGGTGTATTTGGTTTAGAGTAGAGTTGAGGTTGAGGGTTCAGGGTTTAGGGTTTGGGGGCTTCCGTTACGCCAACAAACCTTCAGGCACAACCCTAAACCGGAAACCCTGCAGACGCTAAACTGGAGTCTGGGTCGCCCGGCGTGGGATTGCTCTCAAAGATCCTGAGAGGCTCGATGGCGTGAACCGTGACTTAGAATATCATTCTCTATACTATAATGTCAGAACCCCAATATAGTACTGGGAATTGTTTAGGCCCCTATATAATCTACTTTCTAAAAATAGGTGTCCAGTCAAGTTCACTGCATTGCCGTCGGGAACGACTGCAAAGCATAGAGCTTAAATTAACTTACTATACTAATAAAACCCTAGTATATACTAGATATCCCCGTAACTCAAACTATGTTCTAGATATCCCCGTAACTCAAACTATGTTCCTTAACAGCAGCCCAGATGACTCCGCGACGAAACACACCGAGGCCCCCTGCCCATCGCGAGGCTGGTTGATTCGGCGAGCCCGGCGCTTCGGAATGGCTCGCCTTGGGCCCATGGTCTGAGTACCCCGTCGTCCGATAGGCCTTCCATCGTGTTTCTGCAAGGCTGCATGCCCTATATTCCTATACACCGTTCAGGGTAAGCAGAACTCTGCACGGTGGGCGCACGCGCGCATGGGGTTTACGGCTACGGACTTTCAAGCCGCGCTGAGCGGATGGAACAACGGCGCCGCCAAAAGAGCCAGCACGCAA